GAGAGAGAGAGAGAGGCAGAGACACAGGCAGAGGGAGAAGCAGGCTCCATGCACCGGGAGCCTGACATGGGATTCGATCCCGGATCTCCAGGATTGCGCCCTGGGCCAAAGGCAGGCACCAAACCGCTGCGCCACCCAGGGAATCCCCCACATCCAGCTTCCTGCCTGGAGCTTGCTTCTCCCTCTAGCTGTGTCTCTCATGAGTAAATAAATAAAATCTTTATTTTTTATTTTTTAAATTTTTAAAAAATATTTTATTTATTTATTCATGAGAGAGAACGGCAGAGACACAGGCAGAGGGAGAAGCAGGCTCCATGAAGGGAGCCTGATGTGGGACTCAATCCTGGTTCTCCAGGATCACGCCCTGGGCCGAAGGCAGGCATTAAACCGCTGAGCCACCCAGAAATCCCCTTTAAAAAAAAAAAAATTCTCTTGAGAAATTAGTTTACATATAACTGTCTCTAGTTCCTCACTGCCTATTAGTCTAACATTGGAAAATATGTAAATCATCATGCATATTTCAAAGAATTTTATAAAGTGAACACATCTGTGTAAATACTCCCAAGATTAAGAAAATAAACATTACCAGGACTTCAGAATCCCCTTTTGGGCCACCTTCCAGTCACTACCTCCATCCCCAAACAGTCATTACTCCCATCCCACCCTTTAAAACTAACAGATATGTTCCTGACATCTATCACCATCAGTTAGCTTTGCCTGTTTTTAAACTATGTTGTAAAAATGAAATCATATATATGTTCTCTTAGATATAACTTTTATTTTGTTCAGTATTTTTGAGATTCATCCATGTTGTGAGTAGCAGTAGTTCATTCATTCTCGTTTCTGTATTAAAAGTTTATTGTTTGAGTATACCATAATTTATGTATTCTACTGTTGATGGATGTTTGGCTTGTATATAGTTTGGGCTTTTAAGAATACTGCTGTTAAGGAACATTCTGGTACATGTCTTTTAATGCACATCTTTTTTCTCTTTAGAGAGAGAGAGTGGGAGAGGGGAAGGCAGAGGCGAGGGAAAGAGAATCCCAAGCAGGCTCCATGCTCAGTGGGAATCCTGAGATCATGACCTGAGCCAAGAGCAGGAGTCGGACACCTAATCAAATTGAGCCATGCATGGGCCCCTAATGCACATCTTGTCATATACATTTCTGTTGGATGTGTTCCTAAAGAGAATTGCTGGGTTATAGAGAACACATTTATTCAGCTTTAGAGGATAGTATCAGACAGTTTTCCACAGTGGTGTTACTAGGTTGACACTCCGCCAGTACTGGATGAGAGTTCAGCTGTGCCACATCTGCGCTTAGAATGACTCACTGCATTTTGATTTCTACCCTTATCACTCTAATGAAACTACTCTTGGCAAGAAGAATCTGAGTTTTTTATCCTTATGTTACTTGTCCATTTTGCAGCAATGATGATCTTGTCTACCCATCCTTGAAGCTTTCTGTTCTTGAGATACTAGGATACCAGAGTCTCTCCTGTTTTCTTCCTACTGTGTTGGTCATTCCATCTCCGTTTACTGCTCAGTTCTCCATCCTTTCCCCATGCCTTGAATGCAAGCGTTCCCCCGAAGGTCTATCTTGAGTTTCTTTCTTTTCACTCTACTGTGTGTTCACTGTAATTTTTATTTTTATTTTTCATGGTTTCATCTATCGTCTATATGGGGCAGATTGGGGATGATCCTTTGCCTTTATACCTTACCAACTCTTGTCATCCTTCCCGTGTATTCCATCTACTCAGGCATCCTAGCTTCTAAATATCTTTCTTCTCTGTCCCATAGACTTCATTTTTTTCAAGCCCTTTTTATCATCAGTATTAGCACAATTAATTGAGTGCTGGTTATGTGCTTCTTATATACATCAAATAATCCATAAAAACTCTATCAGGAAAGTAGGTTAAAAAAAAAGATTCATTTATTTATTTTAGAGAGAAAAAGAGTGGAGGGAGGGACAGAGGAAGAAAGAGAATTCTCAAGCCGACTCCATGCTGAGCAGGGAACTCGGCATGGGACTTGATTCCAAGACCCCAAGATCATGACCTGAGCTGAAACCAAGAGTCAGATGCTTAACTGACTGAGCCATCCAGGCACCCTGAGGAGGGTAGTTTTATCCCAATTTTATATATGAGAAAATTGAGATTTTGATGATCTTCTATAAGGTTACACAGCTAGTAAATGGTAGAGAGATTGAGACAGGATTCAAACTCAAGACTGACTTCAAAGTCTATACCCATAACCATTATTCTCTTCCTGTACTACAGGTATTCTCAACAACCTCTCATGTGGTCTCCCTTTCTATAGTCCTGCTTCCTTTAATTCATGTCACTCCTTTATTTTAAATCCTTCAATGGCTTCCCCCTTGCCTGAAACCTGATACAGTCCAAGTTTCTTACTGTGAAATAGTGTCTTCCATGATCTCTTACCATTCTCTTCCATTCTGTATCTCCTCTTCTCACCTATGTGTTCCAGATATGCTCACCTATATATAGCAACTGTGATGTGTCATGTTCTCTTATACCCTGTGACTTCCTCTTCTATTTGCCTGGTTAACTCTTGTTTGTCCACGAAGACACAGTTCTTTTGAGAACATTTCCTAACTGCCTTTTATCCCCAGTCCATTCTGGTGCACCTCCCCTGTGCTACTAGAACACCCTGTGTTCATACCCTGTGTTCTCTCACACATTGCTGTCATCATCATTTTCTTTTTTTATATATATATTTTTTATTTATTTATGATAGTCACACAGAATGAGAGAGAGAGGCAGAGACATAGGCAGAGGGAGAAGCAGGCTCCATGCACCAGGAGCCCGACGTGGGATTCGACCCCGGGTCTCCAGGATCGCGCCCTGGGCCAAAGACAGGCGCTAAACCGCTGCACCACCCAGGGATCCCTGTCATCATCATTTTCACACCTAGAACAAACAAATCAATTGTTCACTATTTACCTCTTTCATTAGACCGACAGCTCCTTGAAGACAAGTGCTATTTTTAAATCCTTTTTTGAAACTGTAGTGCTTAGCACATGGGGGCATTCCTCAAATATTTGTTGGCTAAATAAAATGCTGTGAATTGAATCATTTAAATTGAGTGTAAAAATACCTATTCTTGTATACATTGATTTTTATCTTTTACACATTGTTTTTTATTTGGATTTGGAGGTCTAGATACAGAAGCAATAATAATTTGTTCTGTAAGGTCACTTATACCCTGGAGTCACATGTGATTGACACAAATCTGGGTTTGCTCTCTTTATGTCAAATTAGTGGTAATTCTTGCTCCAGAGTCATAGAATGGCTGAAGAATCCCTTTAAGAAACTTGAAAGCTTCAGGTTACTTTGGGAGCTTTGTCTAAAAAATAGTGGAAAATATAGAGTTGCCTCATTATGGTGAGAGATGTTTTATTCCAAAGTGGTAAGAAGTAGCCTTTGTTAAGAGTTTTGGATTGCGTGGTATAAACGATGATTCTCAGAGGTTACATGAAACTTATTAATTGGTGCTTTTGAAGTCTTCCTTTGCCTTTGGGCCTACAGCAACTTAAAGTTCTTTAATCATAATGAGAAATGAGGGTTATTGGCTTTCTGACAAGGGTTAAACAAGTGTGTGTTTAGTTTTTATTCTAAGGAACAATTTTATAATAAGTTGTATATTTTAATACATATTTGTTACTCTTTGTGTTAATAGTGGGGAGAGGGGAGAGAAAAGGAAATTAATCCTCACTCCTGTGCTTATTGTCTATTGTGTTGACTACTTTTATACAACAGTTTAAGTAGTATATAATCAAATATAAGACTGTGGTGTTCAAATTCATTTCTTGGGCAGGGCAAATAGGATGGTAACCTTGTACCTTTTGTCTTTGTTTATAGAGGAAGGTATTTTCTAAATAACACTAAAATCCAGTTTTAAACCTTTTGGAGGAGGGAATGGAGAGGGATTGGGAGGAAGTAGGAGAGGGGCTCCTGGGTGCTGATAATGTTAAACTTATGTGTTCACTTTGATAAGTTATTGATCTATACACTTATATTTTAGGTACTTTTCTGTCTGTCCTTATATGAATGACAATAAACAAGGGTGCCTCGGTGGCTCAGCAGTTGAGTGTCTGCCTTTAGCTCAGGGCATCATCAGTCCTGCGTCAGGCTCCCCCCACAGGGAGCCTTCTTCTCCCTCTGCTTATGTCTCTGCCTCTCTCTCTGTGTCTCTCATGAATAAATAAATAAAATATTTAAAGAAATACTTTAAACAATTTAGAAATTTCTGTCTTTAAACATTTCCCAGGGAGCCTACAGAAGATGTTAATAGTGAGGCTCTTTTTAAGTGCCATTATTTTGCATGGTCCACCATGAGTCGAGGAACCCTGCCCTAATGATGTGTAGACTCTAAGTGGAGTTGGAGAATGGTAAAAGGAGAGATTAGTGTGGGAAAGAGTAGTCAGGGAAAACAACTTAATCATTCATCCGGTAAATATTAACTGAGCATGAAACATGTACCTGATGCTGTGTTGACATAGAAAACTTAAATGAGATTGGAGGTCAGAGTTAGAGGCAAAAATAAGATCGGGGTGATGTTTATTAATCTTGGTTATATCTCTACTGTTCTTTACAGAATGATAAAAATAGCAAATGCTTATTTAGCATTTTTTGTTTACTAAATGCTTTACATGTATGAACTCATTTATAATCTTGACAATAAGTCTGTGAGATAAGCCCTACTACTAGTATCGCAATTTAATTTCCTCTGGTAGATGAGAAAACTGAGATACAGAGATGCCTAAAATCACTCACCTAGGAAGTAGTGGAGCTGGGATTCAAGCCTGTCTGGCCCCCTACTTCTCTGCTCAGATTTACTATGCTTTGTGAAGTTAATGCAGAGAATATCGGAAATGTAGTTTGACCTGGAGGCTCTTACTCGAAGATGGTCAGTAATTCTGCTCTGGTACTCTGTGGTTTGTGTGTTTTGGAGCTCTGAATGCTTTTTCTTCTTTTTACAGACGTGGCTGGATTCTGCCAAAGAAATAAAAAAGCAGGTTCGTGGTAAGTGAATATAGCCCTTTTTATAGTTCTTTCTTTCTTTTAGTAGGTCAGAGGATTTTCACCCGTTTTCTGGCTATGAGTCACTTTAGAATCCTGGGTATGGCAGGTGGCTCTGAAAGTGAGATAAAGCCTTCCCTTGGAAGGAGGAGATTCCATGATAGAAAGATACAGCAGAGGTGGACACAATTGAGATGTAGGTCAGAGCTTGATTTTTTTTTCTTCACCACTAGGCAAAATTGGGGAAGATTGGAATGGTTGAGAAAAACAAGTTAGAGAAGAACAAAGATGAGAAGAGAAAAAAGATATGGGAGTCAATTCTCAAAGGAGTTTGCTGCCTGGTCCTGTTCCTTTTAAACTGTTCTGGACTATTGCATTCTAACCTTCTTCATATTTTCCTCTCTGTAGTTCTTTTTGTCCATTTTCAAGTCTTCTTCCAAACAGTTCTTCTTTTGCCAATGGCCCTCTGACATTGTGTTTTTTCTCCTGCTCCAAGCCTTCTAGTATATATTACTGTTGTACCCTCCTGCTCAGACTGCTGTCCTGAGATAAATATTTCTAGGTTGAATAAAGTATAGAATAGTATTTTGTAGCTCCAGGCCCAAATGGCTAGCTAAGCGGTGGAGACTCTTTTTCTCCTATTTATAACTAAATGTCCTTTTAGTTTAGTTTATTTTTAAGGAAACTTCTAGGAACTGCAATAGAGATTATTCATCATGGTTAGTAAGTTTTAACTCTATTACCTGAAAACAAATTTTATTTTTCATTTGTTCCTTAAAACAATCTTGCTGTTGTGAAATGTTTTCCTTTAGACACTATTTATAATTTGTATTCCTTGAGATAGGGAAACAGAATACTCCTTTGTATTAGCAACTCTCCATATTTGTTCTTTGCCTATAAAATGTTATTTTAAAATGCAAAGCAAAAAAAAAAAAAGAGGAAGAAAGAAAGAATAAAATGGAAGTCAGAACAATAAATTTTTGGAATATTTGAGGCATAACAAGAAAAACGTTAACTCCAAGTCCCTTTCAATGAAAATTCTTTTAATACTCAATATTACTCAGGAGCAAATGATTATACAAGAAGATTGATTAGGAGGAAAAGTTAAAACAGAATATATAATGAGTGGAGAAGGGTATCAGGTAGATTATCCCTCTGGCTATGGAAAAAAATCTTGCTAAGAAAAAGAACTTGTTTCATAAAAAAAATTACAAAAATCATAAAAACCTTCCTTTAACATATGAAAGGAAAACCTTGTCTATGGCACAAACTTAAACAGGGAGTGAAAATGTAAACATTAAGCCAAAGAGAAGTTCGACACTTATGTATTGCAAAGATTTTGTTTTTTTTTTTTAAATATTTTTCATCACACTCATAATATATACCCATTGTGAAAGACTTAAACATTATGGAAAAATATCATGGAGAAAGTAAAAGTCCCCTAAATTCTATCCTCTAGATACAATCACTGTTAAGTTAACATAAGCTACAAGATTTTTTTCTAGGTATATATGTTTTGGCTTTCAAAAATAGAATTATGCTAAACAGTATTCTTGTCCCCCACCATGTCCACAGGAGATACATTCCAGGTTTCCCGTTAGATGCCTGAAATTGCAGATAGAATTAAACCCTATATATATTGTTTTTTCCTATACATATGTATCTTGATAAAGTTTAATTTATAAATTAGGCACAGTAAGAGATTAATGACAACAATAATAAAATAGAACAACTATAACAAAATACTGTAATAAAATTATATGAATGTGGTTACTCTCTCAAAATATTGTATAGTACTGTACTCACCCTTCCTATGATAATGTGGTGTGATAAAATGCCTCTGTGATAAGGGATGCCTGGGTGGCTCAGCAGTTGAGCATCTGCCTTCGGCTCAGGGTGTGATCCTGGGGTCCAGGGATTGAGTCCCTCTTTGGGCTCCCTGCATAGAGCCTGCTTCTCCCTCTGCCTATGTCTCTGCCTCTCTCTCTCTCTCTCTTTGTGTCTCTCATGAATAAATAAATAAAATCTTTAAAAAAAAATGCCTGTGTGATGAGATGAAGCGAGGTGAATGATGCAGGCATTGTGGCCTAGTCTTAGGCTACCATTGATCTTCTGACTATATATCAGCAGGATCATCTGCTTCCAGATCATGGTTTACCATGGATAAGGGGGGACTACTGTACATTGTTATATATTATATATTTCATTATATTATATATGCAGTATGTATTATGGTATATATAGTTAAAAGTTTCTTTAAATAGGTGATATATATACATGGAATAAAATTAAAAGATATAGATGAATCAGATGCAAGGTAAATCACCCTTTTACCCCATCCTTTAATTCCTTGTGTTCTTTCCAGAGATGTTCTGAGTGTACATAGATATACACATTATTTTAATATAAATATGCATTTAATACATATTTATTTTATATGCATATTATACCTTACTATGCATATTTTACATAAATATGTATTTAATAGGTATATTTTATATGTATTTAATAAAAAATGTAACCAATATTTTAAATTTAACATAATTTAAATATTTTTAATTTGACATAATTTAACATAACATAATTTTAATTTAACATAATGGAGTATTCTTCATTCCAACATATATAAATTTATTTTGTTTAAGAATTTTTGTAATGATTACATAGTTGTAGCACAATATATATATAAGCAGTCCTTTTGATGGACATTTTGGGTTATTCTCAATAGTTTGCTATTACAAACAAGGTTGCAGTGAACATTTATATAAGTTTGAGTTCACTTATATAACTTATATAAGTGCATGCAAATATATGTTCCTGTAGGTAAGTTCCTAGAAAGATAATTAAAAAAATGAATATCTAAAATTGAAATAAGACACACTTTAAGAAAAGAAACGTGCAACTGATATACAAATAAGCATGCAGACTATATAAAGAATATTTCAATTAAAAAAAACAAAGCACTGCAAAACATTAAAAAAATAAATAAAATTGAAATAGATATTCACTAGAAAGATGTTTCCATATTAAAAACATATAATAAAATATGGAGACTAAGTTTTGTCTTTTTTGTTTTCCTCCTAGTCATATCTTCCTTTCTCCCTGGCCATAGATATCTATTTTCATGAGTTTGGGGTGATTCAGTCCATGTTTTTATGTTTTTTTCTTATATATCCATACCTATATACTGTAGATAATATTGCTGTGTCTGTTTTTCTGAAATTTCCCTCAGACCCATTCATCCATTTGAGTCTTTTTTGGAGGTTTGTCAGTATCTCTCTCTCCTCCCAGCTTAATTCCCTGGTTCTGAATAAGAGAGAGCTCCCCTACTCAATGTGGCTGTCCCCCTCTGTGCCTTTGCTCTGTAGTGCAGAGCAAAAACAAGTCCTTATACCTTCAAAAAAAAGGAAAGAAAGAAAAAAAAGAGAGAAATCCTTATGCCTTCTATGTATTCTGAAAAATACAGATAAATAACTTACATAAATTAGTTTTTAAAAATTCTATAGGTGTACCCCTTATAAATGCATCTTCTCTCCTTTCCCTGCAAGAGGTCACAACTGTCCCAAATTTTGTTTTAATGCTTTCACTGTATTTTTTAAATAGTTTTTACTACCTATGAATATATATCTAAAAATGTTGCTTTACCTTTTGAACATATGAATTTAATTACAGAATAGCTAACTTGTGTCTTGCTTTTCTTACTCAATATGATTTTTGAAATTCATCTCAGTTGAAAAGAAAATTTCACAAAACAATTCTTAGTCTTTACTATGAAGGACATGCTCTGATCTATTTGTATTCTACTTCATTTTTTAAAATGCTGTTTTTGACCTACTAAACTGATTTCACAATGGATCATGATCCACAGTTTAAAAAATACTTGATTAAGGATGTATACCGAAAAGTGGAATTGCTAGATTATAGGGTATGCTTTACCAGACATTGCCAAACTGCCATCCTTCACACTGATCGTAACAGTTTGCCAGTAACAGTAAATCAGAGTTCTTAGTTTCCTGTGTCCTTAGAAGGCAGGAATTTTTTTCAATTATTAATTTAAAATATTTTTGACATAATTCCAGACTTTTTTTTTATAAATTAATTTTTATTGTTCAATTTACCAACATACAGAATAACACCCAGTGCTCATCCCGTCAAGTGTCCCCCTCCGTGCCCGTCACCCATTCACCCCCACCCCCCGCCCTCCTCCCCTTCCACCACCCCTAGTTCATTTCCCAGAGTTAGAAGTCTTTATGTTCTGTGTCCCTTTCTGATATCTCCCACACATTTCTTCTCCCTTCCCTTATATTCCCCTTCACTATTATTCATATTCCCCAAATGAATGAGAACATACACTGTTTGTCCTTCTCCAATTGACTTACTTCACTCAGCATAATAATTCCAGACTTAATAGAAAGTTGAAAGACTGCGACAAAGAATTCCTGAATGTCCTTTACTAAGATTCCTCAAATGTTAATATTTTTACTACATTTGCTTTGTCGTCTTTTCTGTTTATCTATCCAATTACATACATACATATATGTATATATATATATATATATATATACACACAGATGTTTTTTTCTGAACCATTTTAAAGTTGCATCGCAGCAACACTATTCACAATAGACAAAAGGGAGAAACAACCCAATGTCCATCAATGGATAATGAGTAAGCAAAATGTGGTATCTACAGAGTGGAATATTACTTATCCTTAATAAGGAAATACTTATACATGCTACTGTATAGATGAACAGTGAAAATATTATATTAAGTGAAAGTAGCCAAATCTTAAAGGTCATACATGATTCCATTTATTGAAGTATCCAGAATATGTAGATCTACAGAGACAAAACAGATTAGTGGTTGCCAAAGGTTGGGGTGTAGGGTGGTAAGGGAGTGCTCTGGATATAGAGTCTCCTGTGGGAATGATGAAAAGTTTTTGAAACTAGATGGAGATGATGTACAACATTGTCAACGTATTAAATGCCACTGAATTGTACATTAAATATACTGAATTGTATACTTTAAAATGGTTAATATTATATGAATTTCACCTATTTCACCAATAATAAGTTGCAGTCATGATACCTCTCTACCCCAAAAATATTCTAAAAACTAGGAATTTTCTTATATAGCTATAATATAGTTATTAAAAGCAGGAAATTAACATTGAAATAATACTACAACCTATAGACCTTATCAGTTGTCCCAGTAATATTCTTTATAGCAAAAGAAAGTCTATGGTGATATTTTGCATTTAGTTGGCACATCTCTTTAGTTTTTTGACCTGGAACTTTCCCAGATCTTTAAAGTATTTTATAACATTGATAGTTTTGAAGAGTCCAGACATTTGCTTCTAAGTGGTCACTTTGAGCCTGTCTGATTTTTCTTCCATGGCACATGAATCTTCAGGTTATGCACTTTGCTGGGAATGCCACTGAAGTGTTGCTGAGTTAGAAGGCAGAAATTTTAATGTTAAGATTTTTTAGACCTTTTCCAGCCACCATTTTATCCACTAAACATTCTCCATAAGATATTACTAATTCTCCTGGGTGGCACAGCGGTTTAGCGCCTGCCTTTGGCCCAGGGCGCGATCCTGTAGACCCAGGATCGAATCCCACGTAGGGCTCCTGGTGCATCGAGCCTGCTTCTCCCTCTGCCCCCCCCCCCCCCGCTCTCGCTCTCTGTGACTATCATAAAAAAAAAAGATATTACTAATTGTATGTATCCTATTCTAGAAACAGTCACTGACAAAAGCTTAACTTTAATATTTTTTTAATTCCAAGTGATTACCTTTTTTAGTTTCTTTATTGCATTGAACCCTGAGCTAGTTTGCAGTGAACCTGAATATCTTCATTAGCAACTTGAATATCTAAATTTGAATCTCTTACATGGAAAAGAATGGGAACTGAAAATTTGGGTTCCTCTCCTTATGATTAACTGTTAACAAAAGTAAAAGAGTTAATAATTGGGACATTTCTGTTTAGATATGGTTATTTCTAAGACAGTTAAACTTCCTTATTTTGGGTTAAATGGAGAGAAAAATTCAGTCAGAATGCAGAAGTTTTGTGTGTGTTTTTCTTTTCATTTGATTTGTTCTAGTAACATAAGGTTATTGGTGGATCTGGATTAATAGATAATTTAATATATTAGTAACTTTTTTTTTCCTGGAGCTGTAGCATCCTCATATGACCTTCATAACAATGCTGTGAGATCTGTTACTTTATTTTACTCATTCACTCAACAAATATTTCTTGAGCATCTATGATCTACCAAGCACTGTTTGGACACTAGGGATACACACCAAATAAAACAGAAAAAAGTTCTTATGCTTAGTAATTTGCATTTTAGTGGGAGGAGACAAAGGCTATCCTTTAGAAAAGTTAAATGTTTATATTTAACAAGTAGTACCCCTACAAAATTCAAATGGTATAAAAGAGTATACAGTGAAAATAAGTCTCCATCCTATTTTCCCTATCTTCTCCATTTTCCTTCCTAAAAGTTCCCCTTCCTAGTTTCCCAACTCCTATAACTGGTTTAGTATATATTCTTATAGAGATTGTCTATGCATATATAAATGTACCCTAATATATACTTCTTTCTACCCCCTAATGTTCATGGTTGCTTTTTTTAATTTAAATTTTACTTTTTGAAAGATTTTTATTTATTAGAGAGAGCAAGGGGGAAGAGGCACAGAGAGAGGCATACTCTGTGCTGAGCAAGGAACCTGATGCGGGGCTTGATCTCACAGCCCTGAGATCATGACCTGAGCAAAATCAAGAGTTGGATGCTTAACCAACTGAGCCATCCAGGTGCCCCTTATGGTTGTTTTCTATATGTACTGTTCTTGACCTCAATATTTTTTCACTTAACAGTGTATTTTGGAAATATATCTTCTCTTGCTAAATAAATATATGTTTAGATTATCTCCAGATATTTGCTGTTACAACCAATGTCTTATAAATATATCATTCTGACCACACTTAAGCATACTTATATATTTATAGAAATAGAATTGGGAGGTGTTTACCCAATATGACTACTACTCAACCATCAAAAGAAAAAATGAAACCTTGCCATTTTCAATGATGTGGATGGGCCTACAGGGTATTAGGCTAAGCAAAATAAGTCAATCAGAGAGACAATTATATGATCTTACTCATATGTGGAGTTTAAGAAACAAAACAGGATCAAAGGGAAGTGAGGAAAAAATAAAGACAAAATCAAGAGAGGGAGAGAAACCATAAGGGCACTCTTAATCATAGGAAACAAACTGAGGGTTGCTGGAGGGGGGCCGGGGTGAGGTAACTGGGTGTTGGGCATTAAGGACGTCATGTGATGTAATGAGCACTGAGTATTATATAAGACTGTTGAATCACTGGACCCTACCTCTGAAACTAATAATATACTACATCTTAATTAATTGAATATAAATAAAATTTAAAAATAAAAAACCACAGGAAAAAAAACTTTGAATATACTAGGCACTCCTAATAATCACAAACTTAGGTATAAGCATACAATTCTTTTTCTGTTTACTCTTACAGGTGTCCCCTGGAATTTCACATTTAATGTAAAGTTTTATCCACCTGATCCAGCACAGTTGACAGAAGATATAACAAGGTAAATAATTTATTAATAGTTAAATATATAATAAGTAATTCTCATTATCATAAGCTCTGGGAATTTTTCTGTTTAGAACTGAAGAGAATTAAACATAGGATGGAAAGTATCTGGTCACTTCAAGGCAGGTTTGCAAATAAGTGAGCCTAAAAGCCTCATATATCTGTGATGTGCTGGAAAGAAATTGGCAGGGGAATTAACCTTACTTATCGTGGCTACTATGTCATGCTGTGTATAAGGCACCTATAAACCACATGCCGTCCAAGGGCAAGACAAAAATATAAGTGGTAAAATAGCTCTGCTACTTTCTCTTTTCAATACTCTTTCCCCGTGTTTTCTGTTATAGGGATCAAAAAAGCTGAAGTCTGAATTATTATTATTATTTTTAAGATTTTATTTATTCATGAGAGACAGAGAGTGAGGCAGAGGTATAGACAGAGGGAGAAGCAGGCTCCCTGCAGGGCACTCGCTCCCAGGACCCTGGGATCACACTCTAAGCCAAAGGCAGAGATGCTCAACCACTGAGCCACCCAGGCATCCCTGAATTATTATTATTTCATGTGTGTGTTATTATTTCTTCTCATTTCTCTTTTAAAGTGTATAATTAGGTACATAATCCTCATAAATTGAATCTTCCTCAGTAATTTTTGAGCTCAATTTATAAAATAAATCTTGTACTCTTTGAAAAAAAACTTCCTGATATTAGGAAAATGACCTTAATTGGATTCTATGTAAATATTAATTAAAAAATAAAATGGAAGAGTAGTATATTATAAAGAATACTACTTTACATATTTATATCAATAACACCTTTATTTATTTATTTATGATAGTCACACAGAGAGAGAGAGAGAGAGAGGCAGAGACATAGGCAGAGGGAGAAGCAGGCTCCATGCACCGGGAGCCCGATGCGGGATTCGATCCGGGTCTCCAGGATCGCGCCCTGGGCCAAAGGCAGGCGCTAAACCACTGCGCCACTCAGGGATCCCTCAATAACACCTTATGTGGATCCTTATACATAGTAGGTGCTTGGCAAATGTTTGTTCAGTGGAACTGTTGGTTGCTATGAGAAACTGCATTCTAATTCTCATTTTGCTATCCACTATCTGTCTTCAGACAAATATACAGTCTCTGTACTTCAGTTTTCAGATTTCTCAAATAAGGGAATAGCCTAAGTAAACTCTAAGTCTGATAAGTACAGTGAAATATTTTTTAATTGTTTCATTTATTTTATTTATTCATTCATTCATGAGAGACACACAGAGAGAGAGAGAGAGAGAGAGAGGCAGAGACACAGGCAGAGGGAGAAGCAGGCTCCATGCAGGGAGCCTGACGTGAGACTCGATCCTGGGTCTCCAGGATCAGACCCTGGGCTGAAGGCGGCGCTAAACCGCTGAGCCACCCGGGCTGCCCCAGTACAGTGAAATTTTAAAAAAATTATTCTGGGCAGCCCCGGTGGTGCAGCGGTTTAGCGCCACCTGCAACCTAGGGTGTGATCCTGGAGACTCTGGATCAAGTCCCACGTTAGGCTCCCTGCATGGAGCCTGCTTCTCCCTCTGCCTGTGTCTCTGCCTCTCTCTCGCTCGCTCTCTCTCTCTCTGAGTAAATAAATTATCTTTAAAAAAAATAAAAAATAAATAAAAAGATTATTCTTTGTCTAGTTAATCCTTTGCACATTCTTAAAGTTGAGATGCCATCTCTGCCTGAAAAAATTGTTTTGGTGATTTCTTTTTCTCAAGCAATACTTGTCTCTTCTTATTCATCTTTCTTCATTGAGGTTATGTATAAAACAGAACAAATCCCTAAAATTCTTTGCTAATTACCTACATTTTAGAGGAGTTTAAGATCCTTGTGATTTGGTTGGCATTCTTCTTTTTTTAAAAAACATGTATGTGACTAATCATAGAGAGCAAAAGCGATTGTTGATGCCTACATTATTCAACATCTTATTATGGTCAAAACAAGAATATAATTCTAATTAGTACAGGAATTTACAATGTCATCATATCTCCCAGCTTTTCTGTTTGGTGAAACAGTCTGTATTAGCTCAGCTAGAAAGAGTGACTAAGGAGGTCAGGATCATAGGTGTAAACATGATACTGACAGAGATGAGTGTCTAACATATGTAGGGGCACTCAGTTGGTTTGTTCTCCTGAACAGTGTTGACCCCAGTCTGAATTCCCAGTAATTTAGCACACAGGTGGAATTAATCTTACAAGATGATAGTGTGTAGAAGGCTACATACAACTTAGCCCATCTTGAGGGGAAGAGAACTGTAACTGTTCATACCCTAGTAAAAATGTGTCAATAATGCCATCTTTATATATGAAGGACAGTATCTACACATTTGGCAAAGCAGTATGATAGAGGAAGTCCAGTTTTGGAGCCAAACAGCCTTTATTACTATATGACATTGAGCAAACTTAGTTTTTGAGGCTGCCTCCCTCCCCATCTGTAATCTGGTAATGATACCCACCTCTTAAGTTTTCTCGTGAAAATTAGATGAGATAATCTATATGTATATGGTACTTAATGTACTCGGTTAAATATTAATTTCTTTTCCTCCGTCAGACTTTTCCCAACTTTACCTCTTCTTTTTCTTCCTTTTTTGTTATTGAGATATAAATGACATATGCCATTGTATTAATTTCAAGCATATAGCATAATGATTCAATATTTGCACATATTATGAAATGATCACCACAATAAGTCTAGTTCACAACCGTCACCATACATAATTACAAAAATGTTTTTCCTGGTGATGAGAACTTTGAAGATCTACTCTTAGCAACTTCCTCTTTCTTTTTAAATTGCCTTCCAAACATGAGTCCAACATAGTTACAGGATTGTTTAACTTTTTACATGGAAAAAATTTAAACACAGAAAAGAAAAAATAATAGTATGATGAACAATCATATACCCACCACCTAGATTGAACAATTATTAATATTATCTCATATTTATTTAATATCTCTTGTTTTTCTCCTTCTTCCCTCCCTCTCCGCTTTTCTTCCTCTTTCTCTATATTTTGTTTTTGTTGTTGCTAACATGGTAACATTTTTTTCTCTTTTGGCTCTAGATATTATTTATGCCTTCAGCTCCGACAGGACATAGTTTCAGGACGTCTGCCCTGTTCCTTTGCAACCTTAGCATTATTAGGTTCTTACACCATCCAGTCTGAGCTGGGAGACTATGACCCAGAACTTCATGGTGCAGAATATGTTAGTGATTTTAAACTGGCCCCAAATCAGACCAAGGAACTTGAAGAGAAGGTCATGGAACTGCATAAGTCATACAGGTAAATGTCTCCAGGGTTTTTTCTGTATTTGTTTTGGCAATAATTTTAAACTATGGCCTGGTTTTGAATCAGTGTTTGCAGTAGAGGGGATGTGGTGCTGTAGTGTCAGCTCAGGCCCCTTCACTGTTTGACTTTGAGCAAGTCATTTAAGCCCTCTGAACCTCAGTTTTCTCATCAGAGTAACAGGTGTTGTGTTGCAGGATGAAAATTAAATGAGGTAATAGGTGTAAAGCACTAAGCACTGTGTCTGACACATAGCAGTTGCTCAATAAATGTTAGCTATTGTTGCTTTACCTCCTCACCACCCCCCAGATTTTAAACTTATTATTCTATGTTAGGTACTTTAAGACTGTTAAAGCAGGGGTTCTTAGGACTTGTGTACATGGATAGACTTCAGAGAGCTGATGGAATCCCTGAAGGTATTTTGAAAAATCTTTATTAATTTGTTGCTTTTTTCCATGGAAATTATTGATGATGTTGAGAGTTGTCATAACAAAATGATCAAAAGCAAGAGCATAGGTCAGGCTGAGATCTTGGCTCTGCTTGGTTCTGGCCTTGTGACCTCGAGTTATTCACTTAACCTCTCAAAGCCTCAGGTTCCTTATATGTATGATGGAGCATATCATTTCAGAGGAAACAGGGTGACAGATAGGATTAGAAAGGGTAGAAAAACTTAATACAGTGTCTTACACTTTGTCAAAATTCAGTAAGTGTTAGCTAATATTCAAGTGCCAACATAATTTGTGTTTCTTCCTACTAGACATCCCATGGTTATTTGAGGGACTTGCCAATGCTAAATTTTACAGGCTGCCTTAGCTTATTAACGTGATGTCTGATGTTGCCTTGAGTTAGTAGTACCCTGAGTTATGTTAGTCTGAATTAGGAGAATCCAGGTTTCTTCTAAACCAGATATTTAAAAAATTTGTAAATATGTGAAACAATGTCACTTTTTTTACTACATTTTGGGAAAATATTGTTACTTTTCATATAAAAAAGTTACAAATGTTAAAATATGAGCTTATTACTCTTATTTTTTAAAGATTTAATAAGTATTTTTAAATTTTCTTAGTTTTAATTTCTAATGTAGTAAGTATTGATAGATATAACCCACATAAAGAAAAGCTCTTTGGAGTCCTCCATAATTGTTAAGAAAGTGAAGGGATCCTAAGGTCAAAAAGTTTGAGAACCACTGAACTAGACAGTGAGATAGAAGCATGGGCTCTGGAATCAGCCTGTCATACTTTGAGTTCAGATTCTATTCCTTTTTTTTTTTTAAGATCTTATTTATTTATTCATGAGAGACACAGAGAGAGAGAAGCAGAGACACAGGCAGAGGGAGAAGCAGGCTCTATGCAAGGAGCCTGATGTGGGGTTCGAACCCAGGAATCCAGGATCACGCTCTGAGGCAAAGGCAGGCACTCAGCTGCTGAGCCACTCAGGTGTCGCAGATTCTATTCCTTATTAACTTTAAGACTCTTAGTAAATTATTTAAGCTCTCTAAGCTTTAGTTTTCTTATCTGAAAAATAAGGGTAATATGAATTTTGTGATTGTTAAAAATGTGATGTACTTCGCAGAGTGACTAGTATATAGTGAGAGTATTTGCTAGAATAGTAATTCTTTTTTTTTAAGATTTTATTTATTTATTCATAGAAATGCAGAGAGAGAGAGAAAGAGAGGCAGAGACACAGGCAGAGGGAGAAGCAGGCTCCATGCAGAGAGCCTGACCTGGACTCGATCCCAGGACTCCAGGATCATGCCCTGGGCTGCAGGCGGCGCTAAACCGCTGCGCCACCGGGGCTGCCCTAGAATAGTAATTCTTAAACCCATTTTACAAGTGATGGATATGAATCTGGGTTTACAGAACTACTTTTTGGAACTTAACAAAATTTAAACCCAAATAAGTGAAATGACCTCAAAGGGGACAGGTACATGTGGTCCAATTGATGTTCTGTTAGGTATATGGATAGAAATTAAGCAATAATGGATCTCCATGACTAGAAAATTTAGATGTCTGATATCTTGGAATTTTCTTGCTTCTTTTTGGAAAGATTAGCACTTTTTTAGAAACAAAGCTAAATGGAAATTTTAATTATGTTCAACAACATGGCATTTTTACTAATCCAAAGAAACTTCTACTGAGGCAGAAGCATTTTACTATGCATTGAAAAGTACAAGCAAATACCACCCTGTTCTCAGATAAATAGAGGACCGCCTACATACACGAAACACTTAGTTAGTGGCCCTTTGCCCAGATAGAGACTTTGAAGTTATAATTAACACTATAAATTTATACTAACAAATCAAGCTTTAAAATTAATTGCCCTCCATTTATGGGTAGTAGGAAAATATGTAAACTTGTCAGTTGTCTCCCACTTAATTATTTGAAATCTCAGTCCTTAATTAGGAGATGTAACAAACATTATTAAAAGGTTGTCACATAACATTGGAACTTACTGAATGGCTCTGTATCTGGACCCCACTTGCTGAAAATAAATACAGAGAAACTTTGTTTTAATTTCTCTTTTTAATGAGCAAGAGTTTTAACCAGTGCCAGAGCTTTCTAGTTAGATACTTCTGTAAGCTTTCAAGTGGTAAATTATTAGGTGGTACTGAATAAATTCTTAATGGCTTAGAGGTATATAACCTCTTCTCAGCTAGTTTATTATACTTCAAGAGTTTTGGAAGATCTAGGAGAAACCATGATCTTTAAAATTTTAAGTTGAAAATAATTTAAATTTAATTTGTGGTATTAGATTTATAAAATATATGTGTTGTATTTGCATGTACAGTTCTGTGGGTAGTGGGATTATGAGATTTTCTTTCCTCCTCCATGTTCTTATACAATGAATTTGTATGATTTTTATAATTAGAAAAAGCTTCCTGAAACATTTGTTTTGCCATTAGGCAGGGTAGAGCAAGAAAGTCATCCATGCAGAGAAGCAGTCTGACTGATATATTGGGGTCCCAGCAGGGTGGAGAGAGTAGAGTATTCATGGGTAGGGGGCCAGCCTGGCATGAGAAATCAGAGCTCAAACAGTATTAAGAGAATAGTCATGTGCAGGCATATGGTGGTAGTTATCAGAGACAGAGCATATTGAGAAGGGCATCCATATGGTGGTAAAGCCTATATGGGGTGGAGGCCATCCACATAGGGAGGTACCTGATACAGGGTATTAAAGCCTGGGCAAGATGAAGCTGTCCATGAAAGGGGTAACCTAACACCAGGAGTTAGAACCTGAATGAGGTAAGGAGGGCATCCCTGTGTGGGGAGCACTCCCACATGGGAGGGTTCAGAGTCCAGTCAAGGTGAAGAGGGTATGCATGTAAGGGAGGAGTCAGTTGCAGCAATGAGAGATTGGTTATAAACAAGGTGTTGATCAGATTAGTCAATATATAAATGATAATGGGAGTTAGGTGTTTTACTATCAGTGAAGGGAGATACATATTATGAAGAGGTAGAAACTGTAGTATTGTGTTAAAACTGGAGGTTTCAATGCTAACTCATGATTTCTTATAGATAGATGTATAAGTAGGCACACACACATACATACACACATACTTATTAATATACTCTAACTCTACATTGTTGGGGAAAGGAGATGCTCAAAAAATGACAGCAGTGATCAGAAGGATACAGAATCCAACTTGGAGAGGCTCCCACTGACCAAATCTGGCCAATTTAAGCACTAAAATAAATAAGGAAAATAATTTATTATATTGCATTGAATAAAGTGAGAATGTATGAATCCATACTGATAAAATTAATAAATTTAAAGTTTGATAAGGAATTGGATATTCAAAAGATTTCCAAATACATTCCCACAAAATAGTTATTAATTACAAAGAGATAAATAAGAATTTCACAGAGGAGAAGCCTGGCAGACATCAGTGATCAAAATGAACTTGTCCATGAAGGGACGAATTGAAGTTGCATACCTGCTACCTGATAGGATACAGTGAGAACATGGAGCCACGTCTGTGCTATTCCTATCAAAGATGCAAAACCTGAATCAACTCATGGAGAAACATCAGACCCAAACTGAGGGACATTCTATAGAATAACTATCTTGGATTCCTCAAAAGGTCAAGATTATGAAAGTCAAAGAAAGATTAAGGAACTATTTCAGACTAAAGAAGAAGACCAGAGACATGAACTAAATGAAACTCATGAATGCTAACTAAACTGGGCCTTTTCTACTGTATAGAACATTTTTTTTAAATAACTGGCTAGACTTGAATGGGGTCTGAGGATTAGATAGTAGTAATGTAATAATATTTATTCCCTGCTTTGGATGGTTGCATTGAGGTTATATAGGAGAATATCTTTGTTTATAGGAATTACACCCTATAAGCAACACAGTTTTCCCAAAAATAGTAGAGGAAAAAATGATTTGCATTGTAGGTAACTTTTAAGTTTAAGCATGTTTCAAACATCAGCCAAACTTTAAATATAAGTATTATTTTCAACTAACAAAGAAATTCATAGTTTTAAATAAGTTAACTCTTCTACTACCTGCCCTTAATACAATTTGATTGATTGATTAACAATATCTAGTTATTTAAGTAATCTCCACCCTACATGAGACTTGAACTCATAACCCTGAGATCAAGAGTCACATGTTCTTCCAACTGAGCCAGTCAGGTCCTCCTGTCCTTAATACAATTTTAGAATGTGCTTACTTAGAGAAACATTTAAATACATGGTTTGAAACTTAAATCTGTATTTAAATTGACCCAATTAACATCCCTTAGAGTTGGAGGAGTAAGTATAGAGAAGATTTTATCATGATTGCCTCATTTAATATTTTAAAATCTGTCTTCAAGTTTAGGTGATCAAAATTTTTCTCTTCTATGAATTGTGTATAGATGTTCCATTGTACTATCATCAGAAACCTAAAGTTGCATCAGTTGAGTGGCTGACCCTTGATTTTGGCTCAGGTCATGATCTCAGGATCTTGGAATCAATCCCCATGTTGGCTATGTGCTCAGTAGTGACTGCTATGGATTCTCTCCTTTCCTTGTCCTTCTGCCTCTCCATCTCTGCTCACACACACACACACACATGCACACACTCTCTCTCTTAAATAAATAAATAAATCTTAAAAAAATTTTTTTAAAAAGGAACCTAAAGTTGCAATAATAATAAACATTTATATTTGCAGAGCAGTTTCACAACCATTTATCTCATTTTATCCTACTAGTCACTTTCATTCATTCAGCAAAGATAAAAAGTCATTGCCTAACCTAGTCTCTGGAATTAGATATTATTATGGATCTTACTTTATAGTTAAGAGATTGAAGGAGACACCAGGTCACCACTCTAAAGTGCAGGAGACATGATTCCAGCCTGAGTAATGTGACTAAGTGCTGACTAAAGCTTGCTGCCTTAAACTTGAGAGTCACAACTTGCCCATGACTATGTGATCTCTCAGGGCCTATTTCTTCGTCAGCAAAATCAAAGTGTTGGATTCTGTAATATTCAAGCTCCGTTCCACCTTCAGAATCATAAAATTGAAGCCATTGATAATAGTAACAACAACAAAAATTATAAAATGATTGGGAGTAATCTTAACTAGAAAAGTATGTAACTTTACATGGGGGAAAAAAAACTATAAAAACTTCCTGAGTTTTTTTTTTTTTCCTGTGGTTTTTAAAAGATTTTTATTTATTTGAGAGAGAAGGGGCAGAGTGAGAATATCAAACTGACTCCACACTGAGCTCAGAACCTATCCTGGGGCTTGATCCCATGACTGTGAGACCATGACCAGTTTAGAAACCAAGAGTCAGTTGCTCAACCGACTGAGCCACCTGGGTGCCTGGTTCCTGGGGTGTTTTTAGGGACTTGAATACACAGACTTGCATATGTGTTCATTTTCCCATTCTCCTTTTGTGTGTATGTGTGTTCAATTTTAGATCTAGTAGCAAATAGAACTCAGGTGTAATGATTTAGTGCTTGTGTGTGTGTGTGTGTGGGGGGGTTATTTGGGGAGGCTGAGTCATTAACAAATCTGCAGACTGCCTCCTGAGATTTTAGTTGTTGTTCCAAGGAACCTTTGTTCTTTTTAATGAGGGTAAAAGACAGATAGGTTTAGAAGAGACTTTCTTCTGTTAAATGAATAGGCCACTGCTGCTTTGTATAGTTTAAGGCGGTCCTCTGGGAAACAGCCATTTACACGGTTTTTCTTTAGGGGTGTGGCGGCATTATTGTTAGTATGAAGTTAAATTTGATTGGCCTGAATTGTGTAGCACTAGGAGTGATATCTTTTTCTCTAGAGCTCAATATAACAGCTCATGAGCACTTCTCAAAAAAGGGAAAAGTTATAAAGGAGAAGGTAAGACCATCACAGTGAGCATTTAGATAGTGAGACTGATTGTTTTCAAACAAATCAAATTCATTATATGCGTAGTAATGAAGACATCTTAATAACAGAGAAAGCAGCCCCATTATCTACATGCTTCTATTAACCAATTTATTTTGTTTAGATTAGTGGGCAGGACACCATCTGTTACCAGAAAATTTCTTTTCATCAAGCCTGCCCCTATTAAGAGTCGCCAGTTAAGTAACTTCAGCTGCCCTCCTGTTTAATTTCCATAATAATTCAGCAGTATGGAAAGAAAAAGGCAGCTAAGAGGATATTGTAAATTGTACCATGCCCTCAGAGGATTTAATTTGGTCACCTCCTTGGCAAGAAAAATTAGTGGGAGGAGTTTGTGTGTGTTAGAGAAAAAAGCTGAGGAGAGGGAGGGGTAATAGAAACGATGATGGTGAGGCAGCTTTTAAGGAATTAACAGGATACTTTTTAAAACTTTTCTTTTAATAGTTTTTTGGTGACTTTGTTTTTCTCCAAGATCTCTTTTTACTGAGGTATATTTCAATGATTTAGACACAGGTAGTGGTAAAACTCCTTTTCCCTAATATTTTATTTTCAGCACTATGAAATATATCCGTATACGTATTGGTGTGTGTGTTTGTGTGTGTATATATATATATATATTTATATTTATATATAATATATAAATATATAAATACATAATATAAAAAATATATATATACTTGTGTATGTAAAGTGCAACTAATATACAAATGTTATTATTGTAAACGTTGGTACTGTGATGCTGAATTTTCAATTTTTATTCTACCAAAGGTCCATGACTCCAGCTCAAGCTGACCTGGAATTTCTTGAAAATGCCAAAAAGTTGTCTATGTATGGTGTTGACCTTCATAAAGCAAAGGTAATGAATGATATATTTGGCCTTTATTAATATACATGTATCAGACCTGGGTCATATAATACTTGTTGCCAACTTTTATCTGGAGTATTATAAAAACATTCAAAAGAGATGGTTCTTGTTAGAATTTTGTTTAATCTTTTTTTAAGATTTTATTTATTTGAGAGCAAGAGCGAGAATGAGAGAGAGAGAGTGCGAGAGAGAGAGAGAGAGAGAGAGAGAGAGCCAGCAGGGGGAGCCACAGAGGGAGAGGAAGAAGCAGGCTCCCCACTGAGCAGAAAGCCCTGCATGGGGCTTGATCCCAGCACCATAGGATCATGACCTGAGCTGAAGACAGATGCTTAACTGACTGAGCCACCCCGTGCCCCTTAAGTGTATAATTTGAATTGCCCCTTTGTGATTCCACTATCAGAATGAAGTTTCACATCAAGGCCCCTATAAGGATCAAATATATAGAGCAGAAGTGTTATTTTCCTAAAATGCAGATGCATTTGAAAATATAGAGTGGCAGCAAGGCATGTTTCACAACCAACATCACCTACATCAAAGTCACCTGGGCATTTATTTAGTAAGTATGCAGATTCTCAGGGTCCTCCCAGATTTACTGAATTGCTTCGGACAAATTCTAGAACTCCAAGTTGAATGAACATCTTAGATTACTCTTTTACACCTGAATCTGAGAACCATTGGCCTGAGGTAGTGGTTTTCAAAGTGTGGTCTTCTAACCAGCATTTAGCATTATCCAGGAACTTGTTAGAAATACACATTTCAGGTCCCATCCCAGACTTAATCAGAAATGCTGCAGGTGGAGCCAAGAAATCTGATTTTACCAGCTCTCCAGGTGATTCTAATGCACATGGGATGAACCACAGTGGTTCATTTGGAAACTGCTGGGTTAGGGCATTGGAAACTTGAGCTTTAATCCTAGTTCTGCCTAATACAACCTAAGAGGATAAACTTAAAGGAAGTTGCTTGACTTCTCTCATCTTCAGTTACTGAAAAGGCCAGGGGTTGCAAGGGAGTGTGAGGAGTTTGTGAGGGAATGGGCTCAAGGAATGATGTGAGGTTCATTTAGAGAAACTTAACTAGGGTGCTTGATGAGGGGACTCAAAACCATGTCTAGTGGGAAAGCAAAGAAATGTATACTTAGCTCATAGAAGAGAAGGTTTAGGGAAGACATAATACCTATCTTTGTGTATTGATGGATTGCTGTGTGAAGTAAAGATTTTACTATGGCTCCAGAAACAAAACTAGAGCTAGTAAAATGGAAATTACAGGGAAATACTATTCAACATAATTTGACAAATTACCTAACAGAGCTTTTCTAAGATGGAAATGGGCCCCCAGCTACCATAGTAATTATTTAGTGGCTAAAACATGAAAGGTCCTGTTAGTCCAATCACACACCAGATGTTTGAATGTCCTTTTTTCTAAATTTCTACAAAACAATTATTCTAACCTATGCTGGAATAGCTCCAGTGACAGAATGCTCACTACAGGGGATCCTGGGTGGCTCAGCAGCGTGATCCTGGAGTCCCGGGATCAAGTCCCACATCGGGCTCCCTGCACGGAGCCTGCTTCTCCCTCTGCCTGTGTCTCTGCCTCTCTCTCTCTCTCTGTGTCTCTCATGAATAAATAAATAAAATCTTAAAAAAAAGAAAGGAATGCTCACTACCTTCTATTTCAGGGTAGGTAGAATAATTGCTTGGTAGGAATTTAGAAAGAAGGACATTCAAACATCTGATGTGTGATTGAACTAACAGGACCTTTTATGTTTCTCTCACCCTGAATAGCTGATACCTGAAGATTCTTCCTTCTTTAGATTCTATTAAATCTAATAAAAGTTTATTTTATGTTAGTGGTTTTCCTTAAAATGTTGCTCTGGATTGTTTTGGCCTGGGTGCTTCTGTGAATCTCTAAAGTAGATGGTAGAAAGATCAGAACTGAAATTGTTTAGTTTTGCTTCTCAATTCATGCTGTAGGCTGATGTCGATGAGGTAATTATCAGGAGTAATGAGGAAGTCAGGCAGCATGCTCCTTTCCCAAATGTTGTAAAGCAAATTGTTTCTCCAAAACATATAATTAGGAGAGAGATATAGTTGTACCCACAGGCTTTAAGACAGATCTTCTGGGAAATTCTCAGTTATAGAGTCATTGAGTTAGAGCTGTTTATTATTTTTACTTCTCAGTTGTGATTGTACATAACACATATAGGCACTAATGTGTTTCTCTATACTCAATTTGGGAAAAGGAGTAGTCAAGAAGCATTTAACTCTGGGTTTTGATTACCTATTTAAATAGTCATCAGTAGAGATTTACTCAGGTGAAATTTATTTTCCTATTTGAAAACACATGATTATTATTGTACATTTAATTTTTAAAAATTACTAAAGAGGCATGGAAATGTGACTTTATCTTGCTGTTCCTTCTTGACTTTGGGTTTTTATAATTTAATATACTTAACATCAATAATTAAAAGAGTCTGAGATTCTCTCATACTGACTTTATAGAGGAATACAGTCAACTCCTTTATGATTTTTGAATGAATGACCACATTATCATAAAAAAAGTTGTGACATTTCATGGTGGTTTTGAGGAATGGCGGTGATGGCTACATTACTTCTAGGAGTTCCTTCAGTGGTAAGACGTGTGCATGTCCATGTTTCTTGGACAAGAGAAGAGCAGATGTTCACTTCACAGTGATATAGTAACATTTTTACATAGACTTAATAGTTCCATGGATTATGATTGTTAATTTAAGCTTTGCTTTTTAATGTATACTCTTGTAAGGGTTTTTGGTTATTGATATCTTCAGATTATCAAATAATAGTCAACAGTGTGTTGAGCACTTTGCTGAAACTGAACTGCTAACACTATACTTTTTCAGGACTTGGAGGGAGTGGATATCATCCTAGGTGTCTGCTCTAGTGGCCTTCTGGTTTATAAAGATAAGCTGAGAATCAACCGCTTCCCTTGGCCCAAAGTTCTGAAGATTTCTTACAAACGTAGCAGCTTTTTCATCAAGATCCGTCCTGGAGAGGTACAGAATTCATGCTTCTTTCCTCCTGAATCAAATATGGACCATGTTGAAAACATCTCTTCATTCTTATTTTTCTTATGTCATCTAAGACATCTCTCTAGCTATTCAGGAGCTGGTAATTATGTTTTCTAAATTAATCAGCCCCGTAATGCTTCTTATTTTCCTTACTACTAATCTGCTGGACATTTCTCTTTACATAAGTTAATATACCATGGCCAAAAGTGAATCTTGGATTAATAAAACTTGTTCCTTGTTTACTGTAGGTAAAGTCTTGATGGAAAAATATTTATAAATATTTATAAATAAAGTAGCAAGAGATTTTAAAATCATGAGGTTAAGATACTCATGTTTTGTACCACTGACACCTTACCTCGTGCAATTAAGATTTATTTGTATGTGGAGCTTCTAGTAGTTACTAAGAATGTATTCTAGGTCAAGTTCTAGATTTTTAATAGAGATAACTGTTCAACTTCATACCAGACAACTCAGTTATTAATTGGTATTTAAGATTTGGGATATACTAATGCTGACCAAACTTAACTTTTACATTAAAGAGCTATGGCACAATAGAAAATCATTTAAGTAGGAATTTAAAAAGTTCTAGCTCCTACTTGCCTCAGCCACTAGTAAACAAAATACCCAGGACAAATCTAGGGCTCAGCTTCCTTATCATTTGAGTGGGATAATACCTTCTCTGTCACAGTTGATTTGAAGATCAAAGAGATGACAGCTATAAAGCTCTAAACAAGAAAGTAATGCACAAATGTAATGTGGCTTTTTTTGTGTCTGTATCACCATCTGCTGGTGGAAAATGGCTCATTATTTTAGCTTGGAAATATTGAATGTGCAGCCTTAAAAATTTTGGATAAACTCAATGAAGCATTTACTTAATACCATCATTATTTACCTGTGCTTAGTAAAAAGGAATCAGTGTCTTCCCTCAAAAGTTTCAAATCTGAGAGGCATTCATTCACCAAATATTTATTGATTGAGGGCTTTCTTTGTACTAGGGACTATTCTAGGGTAGGACTATAATAGTGAATAAAAGAGTTCATCCATTAACCAATCTTAGATTTTAATGTGGAAAGGCAGGACATTTACACACAGACATGCAAATAAATATGTTATTTAAGAACGATTAGGAACAATGACTGGATTTTCAGAAGTGGAGTGTTAACGTTTATAGAGGATGATATAGCAGTAGTGTAATATAGTAGAAACCATGAAAGTCTGCAACTTGATAGCTATGATAGTGAACAGATAACTTCTCTGATCTTGGTTTCTTCATGTGTAAAAATATGATACCGTCTAATCATAGCATTACTGACAATAATAGGCACTAAATATAAATGTCAGTTTCTTTTCTACCTTATAAAGTATGCTTAAGGTAGAAACAAAGAGGCAAAAGACTAACAGTATAGTGTTTCTCAAATCCTTGGCAGGTTATGATTTGCTTCAGTCAAAGAGGTCTCCAGATAAATTAGTGGTCAATCAAAGGAAAAAAAGAAAACACTGAATGATTTAGGAATCTGGTTTGAGCCAAAGTCTTTATTAGCTCCTCTTACTTAAAACAATTGCATAATAATGATTGATTAATTGGAGGAATCATGCTATCCCATTCCCTGATTATATAGTAGTCACATATCCCGGCTGAACACAGTGATAAGGAAGAGTGATGTCTGGACAGTCAAAAGGTCACTTAAGTATGTCTCAGAAAAATGTACAGTGTGTGTGTGTGTGTGTGTGTGTGTGTGTGTTTGTGTGTGTGGTGTATCTGTAGAGGGAGTAAGTTCTGAAAAAATAAGATGCATAAATAATATAAGATGCATTCCCTGGCTTTTCTGCTGTGGAAGTCACCTCAAGTGAGTAGATTTCTTTTGGTAAGTAAATTTCAAGTGAAAATTTTCAATTTCAATTGAAAAATTTCGATTTCTTGGAGATGCCACAGACCCGGGACCCAGAGCAGCTTGGAGGCAGTGAATAATAGCTCTTCAAGTCTAAAAAAAAAAAAAAAAAAAAAAAAAGGCCTCCAATAAAACTACATTGCAAAAAATGGGAAAGAAACAGAATGAAAAGTGTAAAAAAGTAGAAGAGGCAGAGCCTGAAGAATTTGTGGTGAAAAAGTACTGGATTGCCGTATAGTGAATGGGAAGGTGGAGTATTTCTCAAGTGGAAGGGATTTACAAATGCTGACAATATTTGGGAACCTGAAGAAAATCTAGATTGTCCAGAGTTAATTGAAGCATTTGTTAATTCTCAAAAAGCTGGTAAAGAAAAAGATGGTACAAAAAGAAAATCTTTATCTGACAGCAAATCTGATGATAGCAAATCAAAGAAGAAAAGAGATGCTGCTGCTAAACCAAGAGGCTTTGCCAGAGGTCTTGATCCTGAACGAATAATTGGTGCCACAGACAGCAGTGGAGAACTAATGTTTCTCATGAAATGGAAAGATTCAGATGAGGCAGACTTGGTGCCGGCAAAAGAGGCAAATATGAAGTGTCCTCAAATTGTAATTGCATTTTATGAAGAGAGACTAACTTGGCATTCTTGTCCAGAAGATGAAGCTCAATAATTGTTTGTGTTGCTTTTTATGTGTGTGTGTGTGTGTGTGTGTGTACACATACACATAAAATCTGGGTCTTTGTTTTTTGATTTATTAGTGTGAGAAAATAACATTCTAATGAAAATCAAGTTTGATATGTTTGTTTTGAAGTAGTATTGGGGGAGTTGTTGGGGTTTTTTGCATCTATAGCACTGGTTACTTTGAACAAATAAAAGCTTTCTGTAGTTGTTTCCTTTATCAGAAAAGAATATTTGAGACCGTGGTATATTATCCCCCTGCATTAGAGAACACCTTTTTTAAATGTTGGGGGAAATCTTCATAGTTGTTAATCAGTTAGAATTTGTGTTTAACTCCTATATGTCTAGGGATCATTTTGGTTTTTTTGTTTGTTTGTTTGTTTGTTTAGCGCTTTTTTGTGTATATACTTAAAAAATACATACATAAGTGGTTTTCTTTTTGTTATTTTTGAAACATTCACCAAAACAAAAACAGCATTTTATAACCATGGATAAGCCCATGTTTCTGGGATACTATCATTTTCAGCAACTTAAGAAATAAATCACTTAAAATTACATTGAAATTTTTCCTGAAGCCTTAACCTTTCAAATTTTGTAATTAATTGGACAATTTAAATGTAATGTAAGCAGTTTAAATTGAACAATTTAAGAGCAGCCATATTAGAATCCATATCCATAGTTACAGTCATATAAATGCAAGTTTATTTGCAAGATCCCTGAAAAGAAAATTTTATCACCACCAACAAACTCTTCATCCAAAGGACATTGACATGATTCATGGAGTGTCTAAGACTTTGTTCATGGAAACCTAATCATAACCAGATGGTTAGAAATGTTGGCAATTTAGCACCTGCTGAAATAAATGGGTGGACAGACTTCTATAATCCAAATTCTTGACCTGCGTGTTTTTTCTTCACCCCAACTCATTCCTAACATGTAGGCTCAGTCCTCAGTATTTGAGTTACTGGTTCAGCAGAAAACAGGAAAAACAATAACTTTGTAGTCAGAATGTTATCCAACTGTATATTATTTACTTTATTGTAAATACTAGTAAACAGTGGTCAATAAATAGTTTTATATTAAAAAAAGAAAAATTTCAATTTCTTAAACTAGTAACATTCTTTTTTTATTCACAATGTACTCTTCTGTAACATCATATTCCTCTGGTACTGCATCACTTCTGTTAACTAATCATGTTTCATGTTCATTCCTGTTTTTATAGCAAGAACAATATGAGAGTACCATTGGATTCAAACTTCCCAGTTACCGAGCAGCTAAGAAATTATGGAAAGTTTGTGTAGAGCATCACACGTTTTTTAGGTATTGTTCTCGCTTAAGTATTTTTCAAGGATAAATTATTTATGCATGTTTCTATTTTAAACCTGCTATTGAAATTCCCTTCTTTGTATGGCTGGGATTCTTTTATTTAGCTCAGGTGAGATCATCTTAAGCAAGACAAAGTAAATCCAGTTCTCCTCCCTTGGGTTGAAAAATATGCTTCAGCATTCCCAGAGCACCTTTCTGTGTGTGGTAAAGGAATATAGAAGGGAGGAAAAGAAATCTGTGTTTACTAGGGGCTCTGTAATCACCCTAACTGGAACTAAAATTAGTCTGTGAGGGAAAGTACCCTGACTTACCTCCACATGGAATTTCTTTAAGCAGTGCTTAACTACTTTCTGTGGGACTATTAGAACATGAAAGGTAGGAAGTTGATCCGTAATCTTGGCTCTAATCAACTCCAGAAAAGAGGTACCTAGAACCTTCTTTGAAGCCCAATTGTATCAGATAATCAGAAGATAAAAGAAAGTTTCATCTGTTCTGCTTTTTTTTTTGTTTTGTTTTTTTTTGTTGTTGTTCTGCTTTTTGAAAGACCACATTGGTAACCCCTTGTATTCATTTACCAAATGTTTTCTTTGTGCTTACCCTTTGTGTAGGCACTCTAGTAGGCACCGAGAGTATACCACAAGATAGTTCTAGTCCCTGTCCTGAGAGAGCAATCAATCTAGCAGAGAAGACAGACTTTAGACAAATAATCACCTGAACTGAGAGGAGAGCAAGCTAGTTGCTGTCAGCTTGTCTTTGGAAGAAAATTTTATTATTGTAAAATGCATCCATGGTAATAGTAAAAAAAAAAAGTGGTATAATGAACTATCCTTGTACCTACTCTTATATCTGTCACCCAACATCAATATTATCACCCAAAGGCCAATCTTGTTTCATCTATATCCTTACCCATTCCTTCTTACTCCCTCCCAGAGTATTGTTTTTTAAAGATTTTACTCATTTATTCATGAGAGAGACAGACAGAGAGAGAGGCAGAGACACAGGCAGAGGGAGAAGCAGGCTCCATGCAGGGAGCCTGATGTCAGACTCGATCCCGGGTCTCCAGGATCAGGCTGAAGGCGGCGTTAAACCGCTGAGCCACTCGGCTGCCCCCTTCCCAGAGTATTTTGAAGCAAATCCCAGATCTTATGTCATGTCATTGTAATAAAACTTGGCCTTTTTTTTTATTAAGATTTTTATTTATTTATTCATGAGAGACACAAAAAGAGAGGCAGAGACATAGGCAGGACTCAATCCCAGGATCTTGGGATCACAACCTGAGCCAAAGGCAGATGCTCAACCACTGAGTCACACAGATGCCCCAAACTTGGCTCTTTATGAATAGCTCTCAAGAGAGATAACTATGATATCCTTTAATTCTTTTTTTTTAAAGATTTTATTTGTTTATTTGACAGAGAAAGAGAGATAGAGAGAACAAGCAGGGGGAGCAGCAGGCAGAGGGAGAGAGAGAAGCAGGCTCCTCGCATAACAGGGAGCCTGATGTGGGGTTCGGTCTCAAGACCCTGGGCCCGAGCTGAAGGCAGATGCTTAACCAACTGAGCTCTCCAGGTGCCCCGATGCCCTTTACTTCTGTTTGTATTTTCATATCATACCTAGCAGTATAGCAGAGTAGACATGAAGACAAGTCAGGGAAAATAACATTTTAATTTTCATTTCAGGATAAACATGAAGGAATAACCAATTAAGGAATCTTAATTATTGGCATTGAGATATTTCTTTATTTATTGTCCTCTTCTTTAAAATCAAACCAAAAGGGGTTACCTGGGTGGCTCAGTTGGTTAAGTGTCCGACTCTTGGTTTCACTCAGGTCATGATCAGAGGGTCATGAAATCAAGCCCTGCATTGGGCTTCCTGCTCGATGTGCAGCCTACTTCTCCCTCTCCACCACTTGTGCTCTCATGCATTCTCTCTCTCTCAAATAAATAAATTTTTTAAAGAAAAATAATAAAATCAAACCAAGAAAATAGAGTTTTAAAAAAGGGGTGGAGCACCTGGGGGGCTCAGTTGGTTGAATGTCCAACTCTTGATTTCGGCTCAGGTCATGATCTCATAGGTTTTGGGAATGAGCCATATGGTGGGCTCCATTCTCAGCAGGGAGTCTTCTCGAGATTTTCTTCCTCTACCCCTCCCCCATACTCAGGCTTGCTTGTGCACTTTCTCTCTCAAATAAATAAATAAATCTTTAAAAAAAAGTAAAAGGGGGGGGGATGCCTGGCTGGCTCAGTTGGTAGAATGTGTGACTCTGGGTCTCAGAGTTGTGAGTGTGAGCCCTATGTTGAGTGTAGAGATGACTTAAAAAAAGTAAAAGGGTATGGATGAGAAAGAGTTTTTTGAATGTTTAATATCTGTGGTATAGATTTCAACCACAGCCAAAGTATTTATTGTAGGACAGTTTGTTTAAATGTTTTATCAAAATAAGAGAATATATTAACATGTGGCACTTCATCACTCAAAAGAAAGTAAATATTTGCTTAATTAAAATAAACTATCCCAAAGGGAAAAAGTGCTCTCTTTTTGAAAGTATTTGATGTAGCAGTTTATGTATTTATTCAGCAAACATTTATTGAGTGGTAAATTCATGCTAGGCACTATGCCAGAAGTGAAAACAGAGGTAAATAAATCATAGTCTTTATCCTTTACCCGTAGAGAGCCCATAGCCTTGTAGTGGAGACCAGCACATAGATTGTTTCAGGTTAGTGCAATAAATGCCTTGGAGGAAGAGTATAGCCCAAAAAGAAGATAGGGTTCCTAACTGCGGTAAACACACCAAATGACCTATTAAATAGGTTAACAGGTACTAGTTGAGTTTGGAGTGCTTTGGACAAAATTATTATCTTAATAGAGTAGAAGAAGTGCTCTGGGCTTGGATCCTGTTATTGCCCAACCTCTTACCAGCTATGTGATCTTTTTTTTTTTTTAATTTTATTTATTTATGATAGTCACACACAGAGAGAGAGAGGCAGAGACATAGGCAGAGGGAGAAGCAGGCTCCATGCACCGGGAGCCCGATGTGGGATTCGATCCCGGGTCTCCAGGATCGCACCCTGGGCCAAAGGCAGGCGCCAAACCACTGTGCCACCCAGGGATCCCCAGCTATGTAATCTTAAAGCAGTATCTTATTTTTGGAGGCTCAGTTTCTTATATCTATGAAATGATGAATATATTACATGGATGTAATGAATATATTACAGTGCTATAAAAGCATTTTGAAGACCATAAGGCCCTATCTATAGGGATAGATGATGATATTATTAATATAGATCACAATTATACATGTTGTTTTGAGAAATTGACATAGAATTAAAATAATGATTGCTTAATTGGAATGTTGTCTTAGTAACTATAAGGAAACTATGAAACTAATTCATGATTTTTGTCTTTAATCTCACACTCTCAATAGAGTAAAATAATATATATAATTATGTTTTCTCCTCCCTAGACTGACATCAACAGATACCCTTCCTAAGAGCAAATTTCTTGCACTGGGATCCAAATTTCGATACAGTGGCCGGACTCAGGCTCAGACCAGGCAAGCTAGTGCTCTGATTGACAGGCCTGCCCCACACTTCGAGCGTACAGCAAGCAAACGGGCATCCCGGAGCCTTGATGGAGGTTTGTATTGAATATTAATGATTTCTTGTGATTCTAACTCATTAGGGAGAGATAAAAGAAGTTCAGTTGTCTACATGGGAGCCAAATTAAAGAATCTCAGTGGTAAATGAAATGGGTCTTACTAATTGTCTGTTTCAGTAGAATCATCTTATGAAAAGTAGAACTGAATTTCAGAGAGAGTAGTAACTAGATCAAGGTTCTGCTGCTAGGTAGTAGTGGATGAACACTGTTAGAATTTGAATTCAAAATCTCTGACATAGCATGAAAACCTTATCTTGTATACTGAATGAAAAATTACTCTTGATTTAAATAGTTGTTTTTTTCAAGTAGGAAAGAGGAGAAGGGGTCTGACTCTCTAGAGCATTCATTTAAAAAGTTTAGATCAGGGCAGCCTGGGTGGCTTAGCAGTTTAGCACTGCCTTCAGCCCAGCGCAGGATCCTGGAGACCTGGAACCTGGAATTGAGTCCCACGTCAGGCTCCCTGCATGGAGCCTGCTTCTCCCTCTGCCTGTGTCTCTGCCTCTCTCTCTCTCTGTCTCTCATGAATAAATGAATAAAATCTTAAAAAAAAGTTTAGATCATTTGACCTGTGGCAATTAGAGACAGAGAAAGCAATAGTATTATTGGAGTCTCTAAATTTTGTTTAAATAAAATAGGGAATAAATAGATAAGTTTTATGATTGTATACACAATCATATACCAACATCTTCTGTATACCAACAGAAGATCTTTCAGAATTTTTCCTAGTCTCAAGGATTTGAGAGTATTCCTGAAACGAAGTAATAAGCCATATTCATTTCTTTATGCCACGTAAAAAAAAATGGCTAATAAATAAAATTTCAGAAGGCAGTAAACAAAATAGAGTAGTGTTGATTATATTTATTAGGGGCTCACCAGGGCCCAGCTCTATGCTATGTACTATAAAAGTAAGGTGGAAAAATGGAAATCAGAACAGGAGAGGGAGTTTTCTTTCATATCATTAAAGTGAGGGCCTTTATAAAACAATCCCTGTAAGTTTCCCTAATATGCCATCTCTAGCTTAGAGGCATATATATATAAAGAGGTGGGGGCAACCCAGGTGCCTCAGCGGTTTATTGCTGCCTTCGGCCCAGGTTGTAATCCTGGAGACCCGGGATCAAGTCCCACATCAGGCTCTCTGTGTGGAGCCTGGTTATGTCTCTGTCTCTGTCTCTGTCTCCCTCTCTCATAAATAAATAAAATCTTTAAAAAAAAAGGGGGGGGGGCCTAACAGGGAAAAGTCTCTCTCTTAAGATGAATCGAGAAGGATCTAGGAAAAGGAGGGAAAAACAATTTCCATACACTTGTTTCTAATTCTCGTACTGAGAAGACAGCACACAGAGAAAAGAAGACATTTGGAAACAAAACTAAAAAAAATTGAGAGTCAGGATGTGATTTCTGAAAGCAATACAAATCTCTCTATAGGTAGGTAAAGCTTTCTAATTTGTTCAAGATACCAAAGCTCATTAACACTTGAATCTTTGGTTATTTTTGCTATTAGAAAGAAAGGATACATCAGTATAATATCTAAATAATGAGTTTCTATTTAATGGAAAACTCCATGGGATATGGTATCAGGTCTAGCTTTGCAGTGTATTCTCCGTGAGATTGAACAAGTCACTTAAACTTTCCAACCTCAGGTTCTCACTGAAGATTGGCAGTAAAAACAATAAAAATAAAAAAAAAAAATAGCTACCCAAACCCAAGGTAAACTGAAAGTAAGACACTTTACTGGATAAGGAAGGAGATGCCTGATGATGTTACATAATAATGGTAGACATGAGGATCAAGTGAACATATCTAAAATTTACCTTGTCCGAAACAAGTTTTGATTTTCCATGTCCCCAGCTGTGCTTTTCTCTGACTTTCCCATCAAGCCTAGGATTAAACCTTGATTTTTTCCCCCTTACCATCTCTAATGCTTAAATTAATCAGTAATTTTGTCTAGCCTACCTCCAAGTGTATCTCTGACCACTTTTCTCTGTCTTCATTGCCAATACTCAAGTTCCAGCTGTCCTCACCATTCACCCAGATCCAGCAACAGCCTTCACCATGCTTCTGCTTTAGTCCCCCATTGACCCAATAGTCAGAGTGGTCTTTTAAAAATGGAAATCAGGGACACCTGGGTGACCCGGCCACTGTCTTTGACACAGGGCGTGATCCCAGGATCCAGGATCGAGTGCCACATCAGGCTCCCTGTGGGGAGTCTGCTTCTCCCTCTGCCTATGTCTTGGCCTCTCTGTGTCTCTCATGAATAAATAAATAAATCTTTAAAAAAAATAAATAAAAATGAAAAATAAAAATGGAAATCAGATAATATCAATCCCTCTAACAGCTTTCCACTGCAACCACAATAGGATCTAGATTCTTTAGATGGCCTGCAAGGCCTTACACAATCTGGCCCCTCCTACTTCTCTGACCTCACTTATTATTTTTTTTTTTACTTTTTTTTTTTTTTTACTCCATTCTGCTCATTCACTAGTATCTAGATCTGTGCTGCCCAACATGGGAGCTACCCACCACATATCGCTTTTAAAATTTAAATTGAATTAAAATTCAGTCCCTTAGTTACATAGCCACACTTCAAGTTCATAATTGGCCACATGTGGCCACAGGCTACTAAACTGGATATCACCATATTTCCATCAGAACACAAAGGTCTACAGGATGACACTGATCTAGACCCATGCCGAGCTCATTCCACCTCTAGGTCATCGTCCTTGCTACTCCCTCTTTGAGAATGTTCTTTCCCTGGATTTTGGGATGGCTGACTCCTTCTCATAACTCAGGTCTCATTTCAAACAAAGCTCCTTGAGGGACCTTCTTTTTTTTTTTTAAAGATTTTATTTATTCATGAGAGAGACAGAGAGAGAAGCGGAGGGAGAAGCAGGCTCCATGTAGGGAGCCCGATGTGGGACTCGATCCTGGGACTCCAGGATCATGCCCTGGGCTGAAGGCAGGTGCCAAACTGCTGAGCCACCCAGGGATTCCCCCCTTGAGGGACCTTCTAAATTTAGATATAGACCACTCAATCACAAACAGCTACCTGGTCCCCCGCATCCCCAGACACTCTTTATCCATTTTATTTTCTTCATAGTACTTATTGCTGTCTGAAACTGTTTTGTTTGGTATCTGTTTACCCATAGACAGTAAGCCCTATGAGGGCAGAGACCATGTTTGTATGTTTACAGCTGTATCTCCAGTGACTAGAACAATATCTGACATGTAGGGAAAGGTAAAGAACATTGTTGAACAAAGGAATAAGTGAATAAATATCTGAAAGAACATGGGTTTTGGAGTTAAACCAACCTATTCTCCAATCCACTTATCAGCTATCCAATCTTTAAAAAAGTTATTTAATCTTTGATCCAAATTCCTAGTGTCTTCATGATTGAATAAGACAAAGCCTGTAATCTGTCTTGTACTGTTACTATTAAAGCAGCCCCTTCGAACTCAGGACAGCAGAGAAACATGAGAAAGAAGCATGACTTGTATGGAAGCACAAAAGTCTTACTCCTTGGGTAATCTCTTTTCCAAGTGTGGCTGACTCATTCTGATTCCTCTTAAACTGAGCAAGATGTCTCTCAAATATATGCTCCCATAATGGAACCAAAGTATGGCAGCATAATTCTGTATGATACAAAATAAAATAACAATGCTGTGGCCAGAATATTAACAATAGTTTAATGATAGCTAATATTTTGGTGTGACTTACTAAATGTCAGCCATTGTGCTAAGTACCATATATATATATCATCTGATTTATTCCTCATGAAAACTCTCTGAGGTATTATTATATTATTACCGTGCCCATTTTATAAATGAGAAAGCTGAGGCACAGAGATTGAGTAACTTGCCCCAGAAGACAGATCCTAAATGCAGGGGTTGAGCTTGGAACAAGGTCTATCTGAGGGTAGAACCCAAACCTTTAACTTCTTTTTTTTTGTTTTTGTTTTTGTTTTTGTTTTTGTTTTCAAACCTTTAACTTCTATAACTGCATCTAGGGATCTTTTTCGTGGGGGAGTTCCTTATTTTTAGATTCAGTGTCTTTATTAGGTAAAGGACTATTCCAGTGTTCAAGTTCTTATTTTGATTTTGGTTATTGTGTTTTTCCAGGAAATGTCTCTTCCATCTAAAATTTTTTTAAAGATCTACCTATTTATTTTAGAGAGCAAGTGCAGGGGGGGGGTCAGAGGGAGAGAGAGTCCTAAGCAGACTCTACATCAGAGCTGACATGGGCTCCATCTCACAACCTAAGCTGAAACCAAGAGTCAGATGCTTAACTGGCTGCACCACCAAGGTGCATATCCACCTAATTTTTAAATTTATTTACATAAAGTTGGGTATCTTTTTTAATATCTCTATGAGCTATAGCAGTGTCCCCTTTTATGTTCCTGATTTTGGTAAGCTGTGCTCCTTTTTTTCTTGTTACAAATCTATTAATTTTATTTATTGCTTCAAAAAACCAACTTTTGGGTTTTTTTCATATTATATGTATTTAATTTATACCAGCTAATATCTCCATTATTTTCTTTCTACTTTCACTGAACTATTGTTTTTCATTTCTCAAAGTGGATGATCCCCTTGCTGTTTATTACTTCTTACAACTTAAGGGGCTTGCCTAAGGTCACATAGCAACAAAACTAGAAGTAGAGTCTAGGACTGTTCTCCCAGACTCATGTTTTTTACTCTTCACCATGATGACTTTTTTTTTCCAAAAAGAGGAAGAATAAAAAATTTTTTTTTTAAGATTTTATTCATTTACTCATAAGAGACATAGATAGAGAGTGAGGCAGAGACACAGGCAGAGGGAGAAGCAGGCTCCATGATGGGAGCCCAATGTGGGACTCGATCCCGGGTCTCCAGGATCATGCCCTGGGCTGAAGGCAGGCGCTAAACTGCTGAGCCACCCAGGGATCCCAGAATAAAAAATATTAATATTCATTGAGCACTTAGTATATGCAGGCACTGTTCTAAATATTTTACATGTGGGTACTCTTAAGCCTCTAAACTACATATAAACTGAATAGGACTAATTTTGTCTTTAGTTTTGTTTCCAAATGTCTTCCTTTTCTCTGTGTGCTGTCTTCTCAGTACAAGAATTAGAAACAGGTATATGGAAACTGTTTTTCCCTCCTTTTCCTAGATCCTTCTCTATTCATCTTAAGAGAGAGACATTGCTGGGCAGCCCGGGTGGCTCAGCGGTTTAGCACCACCTTCAGCCCAGGGCGTGATCTTGGAGACCTGGGATCGAGTCCCACGTCAGGCTCCCTGCATAGAACCTGCTTCTCCCTTTGCCTGTGTCTCTGCCTCTCTCTCTCTGTCTCTCTCACTCTCTGTGTCTCTCATGAAAAAGTAAATAATATCTTAAAAAAAGAGAGAGAGACTTTTCCCTATTAGACCCCCCCACGTGTGTGTATATGTATATACACATATGTGTGTATATATATATATATATATATATATATATACACACACACACACACACATACACACATATATATGTCTCTAAGCTAGAGATGGCACATTAGGGAAACTTTTACAAGAATTGTTTTACAAAGGCCCTCACTTTAATGATTCAAATGAACACTCCTCCGTTTTCAGTTCTATCTGGTGCTCAGAGCATCTGCTTCACCAGCTGAGAAGCTAAAACTGGTTCAGATCCCAGTTTATACGTTAGAGTGGTAAGTCACAAGGATAGCTAATAATGATGACAAAGATTTTTCAGCTTATATTTTTGTTGCACTTTTTGCATTTCAAACCATTTCCGTATATTCCTATTTAGTACCAACAACCTAAAGAATAAGAAGCATTTAGGAATTCTTGGTTTCAAAAAAAAAAAGGAATTCTTGGTTTAGGGGCGGGCACCTGGGTGGCTCAGTCGGTTAAGCATCTACCTTTGGCTCAGGTCATGATCCCAGGGTCATGAGATCGAGTCCCAAATCAGGCACCCTTCTCAGTGGGGAGCCTGCTTCTCCCTCTCCTCCCCACTTATGCTGTCCATTGCCATCTCTCTCTCTCTCTCTCTCTCTCTCAAATAAATACTTTTAAAAAAAGTAAATAAATAAAAGAAATTCTTGGTTTAATCATGAGGAAACTGGGGCACAAACTATATAACTTGTTAGAGTCACACAATTTGTTCATCCACTCGGTGAGTAGTAGTTGCAGTGATTCTTGCTAAGGGAGTACACCCATATCATCTTCAGAACTTTAAAATAAAACAAGTATCCAAGCTTCACTTTTAGATACTTCATCTGTCTGTGGTGGACCTGAGCATCAGCTGGGGTTTTTTTTGTTTGTTTTTCAAGATCTGCAACAATTCATGTGGGCCCTCTGGTAGTAGAACTATTGATCCACTATATACCTATTGTACCTGTACCATACTAGCAGAAATTGTGCTAGTAAGTAACAGGACCTAAAATTTAAGTCTCCTTTTACTTAATATGATGGTTGTGAGTTTTACTCCTCACTGCTGTAATATGTAACTGTCTCAAAGTTTCTGTTGTTTTTAGACAAGAGCAATATAATACTGGAATTAATGGGTCCATAAGATTATCACAACACTTCTTTGTCTAGACATTCAGAAATGGGAAATAATCGAAGTTTTAAAGTTAATCATTCTCTGTATATGCACCTAAATATTATAATAGCTAACAAATTCACAAAATTAAAGAGCCAAGGCATCTTAAAAAGCAATCACTACTTCCAATAAATATACTGAAAAGCATTGGCTCATACAATCTAAACGAGTGAATTATATGGTATGTGAATTAAATCTCAGTAAAGATGTTTAAAAAACAACAACCATAGTCACTGCCATGATTCTCTATTATGATCTGTACTTTGTAGTCTTCTTATTGAGAAAAGGACGGGATACCTGGGTGACTGAGTCAGTTCAGCAACTGCCTTCAGCTCAGGTCATGATCTCTGGGTCCTGGCATTGAGCCCCGCATTGGGCTCTCTGCTCAATGAGGAGTCTGCTTCTCCCTCTGTGTGCACACTTTCTCTCTCTCTCTCAAATAAATAAATAAAATCTTTTTAGAAAGAAAAAGGAAAGAAATTTGCTTCTCTCCAGGGCTTCCAGGTAAAATCCTTCACTTGAATTGCATATCAGTGTGTGCATAATTAATTTTTTCCCAACATACTGTTGAAATGACACTGACCAATGACAAAAAAAGTATGAGGACTTAGAGGTATGACATTAAAAGTTACTAATATTTAGTGTTTATGAAGTATTTTTATATCCATTGAATATGCTTCCCTTACTATTCTATAGAGTTAATATCTTCTACATTTTACAAATGATGAAACTTTATGCCTCCGTTTCTAACTGCCAGTTTCCACACTTATACCTACTTTTCCACAGACAGTGCAGATTGCCAGGGCTAGGAATACTACTGAAGGCATAAATCATTTGGCTCTGCAGTATTAGTATTGGATTAAAACCAAATGCAAGTGGCAAAATAACACATGGTGAAGCATGGGCTATGTTTCTATGATGCCAGGCAGAGTTGAATTAATTCTTTGAGAGGAGGTGTGAATACACATGTATAATGATAGTTTAACACAACTGTGAGCAAAATATTTTGTCACATTCCCCTGTGTTGTTAGATTTGGTCTGCCATCTGCCATTCTTGCATTGAGTAGCTTAGAGCACCCATGAGTATCAAGGACTTGCAAGAGGCCAGAGTTTTCATTGGAAGATAGATGATTCTTGTGTTTCTGCTGTTTTTCCTAAGTATGCTTTCTTTCACTGGAGATCACTACAGAGTCACAAGCATTTTTTTCTTGAAGTTGTATGTATGAAGTAGTTGTGAATTCCAAATTTTTATGTGTTTTGATGAATGGAATTCCTTTGTTTTAGCTAGTATTTACTCCTTATACATCAAAATGTGTCAAGATAAATTCGGGGCATTGGGGTGGCTCAGTTAATTAAGTGTCAGAGTATTAATTTTGGCTCAGGTCATGATTTCAGAGTTATGAAATGGAGTTACCAAGTTGGCTCCACGCTCCACATGGATTCTGCTTGAGATTCTTTCTCTCCTCCTCCTGCTTTGGCATGTTCTCTCTCTCTCAAAAAAAAAAACAAAAACAAAAACAAAAAAACAAAAACAAAACTTTTTTTAAACAATGGTAAATTCAGTATATTCAGTTTAAGAAAGCAGGAAAACATATACTAAAAATTCTAAGGATTTCCATGCAAAATAATTAAAAATTTAAAAACTCCTACATGAAAGGATAATGATCTGTTATCAGAAATATTAAATTACATGGAGGGGTACATGGGTGGCTCAGTTGGTTAAGCACTGGACGAGAGCTCAGCTCAGGTCTTGATCTGAAGGTCATGAGTTCAAGCCCTGAGTTGGACTCCACGCGCAGCATGTAAAAATAAATAAATCATGTGGAGACACACAGCATTCGTAGGCACTGCCAGATAAGTAAGGTTTTACTACAAAGTATGTGTAGGTTTTTTTAATCCCTGAAAGGATGAAGATAAGGCATAAAGAGTATGAATAGGTGGTTTTGAAGTAAGCAAACTGAAACTTAGATGCCTAATAGTCCAAGCCAAAACAACTATTAACTCTGAAAAGATTAAACTTTTGTCATAAACCTATATTGCATATTATCTCTAAAACAGTCTGTAGAGAGCCTTTTCCCTAAGTCAAGGTTTCTTAATCTCAGCATCCTTGGCCTGTATACACTAGATGTCAGTACCCCCTCCTACTTCTCTTCCCAGCTGTGACAATCAAAAATGTCTCCAGACATTCCCAAATAACCCCTGATTGAGAACCACTGCCCTAGATACATTAGAGAAGAGGAACTGTAATACAAATTGATAAGATTCTGAGAGATGGTAGGACAGAACTCAGGTTTTTTTTTTTTAGGGACTAAAGGCCATGGTTATGAATTCATATTATTTTAATCAAATGACTTATTAAAAAGGAAAATAACTGGTTCAAAGATTTGCCCTTTAACAAGCATCAGAAGAGTGCATATCTTACCAGAAGACCAATTTATCAAGTTATTTTGTAATCACTACAAGCAGGCTTCACAGAAGAAGTCAGACTTGATCCTTTCTCCCTAGAACATATTTTTTTAGGATCCTAAAATCATCTATAAATAAATGGATCTATATTTCAGTATGGCTTCATGAAAGAAATCAGACTTAACTAACCTCTGTATTTTTCTTTATAGACAATATTGGAAGTTTTTGAAACAGTATCAGAGTATGAAGTTGAACAATCTTGCTAACTTTTTAAAGAAAAGTGTTTTTAATTTCTATTCTTATTTTGATCCCCTCTGCCCACTTCTGGAACATGATAGCACAGCTCAGCTTTTCTTTGTAGCTTTTTTTATTGCCATGAGTTACCTGGCAAAGCACTAATGATTTTTTTTCATCTTCTGTATGATAGCCCACTGGACACTGTGTCCTGGATTCACAACTATTTTACCTGATGATTTTGAAGTAGTACAGTGGCTCTTACCTTCACTTATTCTTTTCCCTTTCTCACGTAGCAGCAGCTGTTGATTCAGACCGAAGTCCTCGGCCCACCTCCGCACCAGCCATTGCTCAGAGTCAGGATGCAGAAGGCACCGTTCCAGGTGCACCTGTCAAAAAAACAGTCGTTTCTAAAGCACAGAAGGAAACAGTGAAGGATGAAGAGAAAAAGGAAGAAGGGCCACCTGACCAAGCTGAGCCAGAGCCCACAGAAGTGTGGAAGGTATGCTATAAGTCTACATATCTGGCTAGTTCACTTTCTGATTTAGATATATTAACTCCTTGGCCAGGAAGGGTTTCAAAGCACTGATTCTTGTAGAACTCTAACGAAGTTATTTATTCTTTACTCTTTCTAAAAGAAAGAGTATGAATAACCCCATGAACCTACAAAATACTTTTATAAAATTATGTCATGAAGACTAAGTCATCCAAGTTTTCAGGTGGCCTACCTAAACTATTACCTAACTTACATCTTTTTATAAAAAGGTAAAGCACATCAGCACTGTGATCACCTGCTTTTAAAAATAATTTGGACACATCCAGAAGGAATCTTTTTTTTAAGACTAAGCTCTGCTAATAGGATTAAAATATAATTTGATTTCCTAAGATGAGTATACTTGCAACATACCCAGAGAATATCCCAGTTAGTATAACATAAGACACATTGATGTGGTTGTTCAACTCAAATTGTTTACAAAAAGGGGAAAATCCTTATGTAGGAGAGATTATGCCACTGAGTTGCTTACAGTTCTAAGTCGATTGTATCCACAGTCCCTGACCTTGTTGAAAAAAATGACCAATTAGCAGATTTCCCAGGACTAACAGTAACAGGACTGATCTTTTATATGTTGATAAGCTTTTTAAACAAATTTAAGCAGTGATGGAGTTGAGGTGTTCATATTTACTGACATAAATATAAGTATCACTGTTGACAGCAGGAGTTAATAGAGGCAGTTTTTAAAAGAAAAATTACATTTTTATATGTCTGTTAAGAAATTTAAAACTGGAAAAAAATTTTTTTTAAATGATATAAGACCTTAGTAAGTGCTCTCACCTTGCCACATGGATTAATCCTATTCTTTTGGACCTGGTTCAATATCTAGTTTATCTGTAGAGCAGTGGCCAATTTGGCTGTTTTGACTATATTTAAAAAAAAAAAACAACTGTTCAACATGACATGCCATTTTTACTGTCCTTTGAGGCCAGCTTGAGTCCAAAGAGAGAAAAAAATTGAACAAATGGTGGATATTTGTCCTTTAAAAAAATTTTTTTTTTACCTAGGCAGATGTGCATGACATTGGCCGTCAGCTTCAGTATCAACAGCGCCTTTTTAAGGTTGACTACCTCAGTATTTAATGTTAGGGTATCTCCTCTAGCACTTTTAGCTATCCCTCTATTTGTTGTACTAACTAGAAAGTGTTGGATTACTGGAGTTGTCAAAGGAATCTTTTTTAAGTGGCTAAGATTTCTTTGGTGTTCTGCTAGCATATTTGTTCTTTAGCCTATAAGTCAGACACAGGTGTCTTCAAGAATAAGTTCCCATTGCTCTTGGGACCTTGGCAGAATGAAGAGATCACTTCCTGGTATGTGCTTCCCATTTAAGTGCCAGTAGGTGGTTTCCTTGCCAGTTAATTCTGTGTAAGTATATGTTTTGAGATACTCGTGTGGAGATCAGCCTGAAAACTACCTCTGAAAACCTTCCATTACTGTAATAGTAGTGACAGAATTAAGGGTGACTCTGAGTTGATTTTATTTGTAGCAATAGAAAATAATTATGGAATTTACCTGAAGCAATAGGTATTATATAAAGCAAGAGTAGTAATAAAATAACCTTGTAACTTTGTAAATTTCATTATCTAACATGAATTTGGTGCCAGATAGAGGTAGCTTTTTGGCATCTTGAGTCATTTGACAAGACCTATTTTGCAGGTGTGGAATAATATTCTTCCCCTGTGTACACCATTATCTCATTTAATGTTCTCTGAAGAGGCATGACTACTTTTACTACTTGGCCTCCACTCTTAGACTGAATTAGAGGCTCTCAATTTCTTGCTGATAGAAAAAAGCAAAAGGTCATTATTCACTGAAACAAGTAATTATTTTAAACTACCATTTGCTAAACATTCACAACTCTATGGATATATTATCTTCACTTTATCAATAACAAACTTAAACTCAGAGAGGTGAAATAACTTGCTAATGACCACACAAGCTAATGTCAACAGGATTCATAGAGGAAATGACCCAAATTGTCAGTTATCCTGGTTGTTAAAAGTACTATCACTGGATGTGCTTATGATTTAACAGTATTGCAAAGTTTGGTGTTATGTTCTCTACATTCTGTCCTGGGGAAAACAGCACAGTGATATTGTACTCCAAGGTAATGCTGCCAAGTGTGATTAAAGAGAATGTGTCAAAACCACAGATTGGTTAGGTTCTATAAAGAAGTTAATGATACAAAGTGATTGATTTGATCCTTAATCAAAAGTTTTCTAATTTTGAAATACCTACTGCTTTAGGCATTGCTGACTCTAAAATGCTTCCTCTTAATGGTCTGTTTGGGTTTTTTAAATTTATATTTTGGATATATAAAATGACTATTTTGGATATATAAAATGACTATTTTGGATATATAAAATGACTATTACTAAAGGTATTTTGAAGCTAGACAGGAGGCCTTAGTTTTTCTCTTCCTACTATTAAGGACAAATCTTGTTCATCCACCAAACACATGGGCTCCAGCTCCCTGGAGAGGAGATGACAGAGTGCTGAATGTTGCAGCTGAGCCCTATGTGTGCTTATTTATAAATCAGCCTTGGAAGTAATTGCATGCATCAGTAACAATTTGGATTGAGTTTATTTTGATGTTTTGTTGTCTAATAAACTCAAGAGTTAAATTGCCTCCTTAAATATATTGATCAACTAACAAATTTTTTTTGTATTTACCTGCTTTGTGTCATATGTGGTTTATTATATCTGTGCTTTAACTGTAAAGATTTTGTTTCTGTCATGTATGTCATACCTTGATATCTTCATTTGTAAATTTGTTTTTAAATGTTAAAGTACTTCCAGATCATAAAAAAAAAACAAAGCAAAAACACATGCCTTATTTAAGCCCAAATTATTCTTTGTATAAGTACTTTTTTGTGAATAAGTATAAATATGTTTTCTTCATCAGTAGAATAATTATCTTAATTTTCTTTTATAATAATTTGGCTGTCTATATTACCTCTTCAGCCTTGAAAATACGATTGTGAACTAACAGATTACTGTTGAGAGTAACGTCCTTTCCTGTAATACCCCCCTAAGACTGCATCATGTTGATTACATATCAGCTCATTTTGCCAGCTTAAAGATGCGGCTTATTTGGAAATAATACTATTCATAGAAATCTACTAATCTAAAATGTTTTTGCCACTCTATTTCTTAAATGTAGGTGGAAAAAACCCACATCGAGGTCACAGTACCTACCTCAAATGGTGACCAAACACAGGTTTGTGCCAACAGGCCACTTGTTCCTTTTCTCCTCCCTCTCAATTTTTTCTTCTCCCCAATTCCCTTTCCTTAAAAAATATTATAAAATAAAGGTTCAATGAGCCAATATTTTATCATTTTTCTTTTTTTTTTAAATAATGGCAAAACAGAAGCTTGCAGAAAAAACTGAAGATCTGATAAGAATGAGGAAGGTCAGCCATTTTTCACTTTCACAAAACCACATTACTGTCACCCATGCTGACTTCTACAGTACATTAAAAAGACAGTGATCCATTCTTTTCATTGATTTCTCTTAATCAGAAATTACTTCAAATAATAGATATATATTTGTGTATATATATTTGCATATGTATACCAAAAGAAATTATAATCCTATACTATTTGTTGAAATTTTTCATTAAAATAAACTTCCCAGTAGGAAAATATCTTTTCAAACACAATGAAATTGGTGAAGACCAAACCAATCCTTCATATTTAAACTTTATAAGAAATATTTCAGTGGCACAATATTCTTGGAATCATTGACAATATTTGATAAATACTTATTATGGAAACCATCATAGCAGCAACTCCTGGTATTGTTCATAACTATGTGTTTTGCTGCTCTGTGCCTATTCTTCCCAACTGTAGAGTGGGCTATATCAGTTCTTACTGAAGAGAATGTTGACTCTACTCATGTATAAAGTACCATACCTTAGATCTTTCTTACAAAAGGTATTAGAGATACACCTACTGTGTTATTACTAAGTATGAAATATGTTTCAAAAAGGTAAATAATGTTTTAAAGCACTTCTCTGTGCCATGAAACATGGAATTTCAAAGCTTCTTAAAGTATTGTATTTTAAGGTAACCCCCAAACAGCTCAATTTCAAAAATGAAATAAGATAGCTTATTACGTAAAGAAGCCAATGAAGCCGGGAGCACTGTCTATTTAAATAAGATCATCACTTTCCTCCATCATTCATAAACAGGGTCATCCGTTTTCTAGTGGTAATGTGTTTTGTGTGTGTCCTTGTAGTTTTGTGACCATTTCATGTTGGCATATGCTGCGCTGTGGACATTTAATTTTTTTAGTTTGCCAATTTGCAGTTTTTTCCCGCAAGAACAACATTTTAATTTTTTATGCTTTTCTGTTTTTCCCTCTTTCATTTTCACAGAAAAAGAGAGAGAGACTAGATGGTGAAAACATTTATATCAGACATAGCAATTTAATGTTGGAGGTTTGTATGAACTTGAAGCTTATTTCAGTTGGTTGCCTATAACCTTCTGCATTCTTTGCTGATTGCCCTTTCTTTATGCTGCGTTTGGTTTTGCATGCCATTGCATGAGAGAATTTTAGGTTCAAAATGCTTTTGCATGTTGATAAACATGAAGATACGCAACCATCTCTCCTTCTGACTCTTTAGTTTCCATCTGTCATACTTATCTAAAAAATATATGATTGGAACTATCCCCTGCCTTTTGTGGTTCCATTGTTTATCACTTGGAGAAAATTCTACATCGCTGTTTAAAATTCCGTGAATTTTCCAAGAGTATACACTCCTATTATATGTCCCAAGCATCAAATTTGTACCATTTTTTTCATCTTTTGAACTGAGAAAGTGGAAAAGTAGGAGAAATGATCACAATCAAAATGGACTTAAAATATTGGGGATCCTGGAAAATGACAGGATGGTCAGGAAAAAAAAGATACAGGAAGGAAAGAGGCGACCTGATATTTAATCAGTAGTTAGTATGATATAAGATAGTTTAATACAAAAATAGGTCTGTGGGCATAAGATTATTATTTTAAAGACAAGAAAATTGAGCCTTAGAGAAAATTAATTTCCTTTTGGTCACAAAGCCAGTAAATTAGTAAAGCTAGGATTTCAGTTAAGGTCTATCTACCTCTATTAAACTATACTTATTCCATTCAGAAATAGCAACATACTGTCTACTATTGGAATTGTGAGGTCATTTTCTCAGTACTCAACAGTGATGAGAATTTTACCAGGCTTATATTATATTAGTATACTTATCTAGTTTGGAGCTCCACATTGGATGGGGAAATATAAAACTAATTAGAAGACTCGGGGAACTCTATGAGGAAAAAAAAATGAAGAACACGGAGTTATCTGTGTGGAAAACACTGAGGCTACATTAATTTACACCTCACAAAGACTCTTTTTTTAAATTTTTTTTTAATTTTTATTTATTTATGATAGTCACACAGAGAGAGAGAGAGAGAGGCAGAGACATAGGCAGAGGGAGAAGCAGGCTCCATGCACCGGGAGCCCGACGTGGGATTCGATCCCGGGTCTCCAGGATCACGCCCTGGGCCAAAGGCAGGCGCTAAACCGCTGCGCCACCCAGGGATCCCCCTCACAAAGACTCTTATATAAAAGTTGACCAAATTATCTTACTTTTGCTCAAGACAGAGCCAAAAGAAATGAGTATAACTCTGCTACTGGGGATTTAACTAAAGTTTGAAGGAAATATAAATGTAGAGGAAGATGATAAACATTGTTTTTGCCTTCAGGAAACTTAACAATGTGTAAAAGTAGGGAGGAGAAAAAAACAAATAGCAATAAAATGATTTCAGGTTATTTTAGAAGGTAAGAAGGAAATAAACTGTATGCTGTGCTTTAAGAAAGGAGATCTATTCTGAATAAGATGGACAGGGAAATTCTCTCTGGAGAGATAGCATATTAGCTGAGACCTGAAAGATGAACATATAAGAAATGTGCTAAATATTATTAAACTGGAAATTTGAAGAAAATTTTAGGTAGATCTCTGGTTTAATATAATCGCCTCTAATGGTTACTTAACCTTGTCTTATTTTTTGTCAAAACACATATTTTGAAAAAAAAACACATATTCTGAATGCTTGCTATATATAAGGTGCTTTAATAAAAGTAACAGAATTTGTGGCCAGCCTTTATGAATCATATACTGTGCAGTGGGCACAATACCAAATGCCTTATATACAGTTAACCTCACACAACATGAGGGTTTTTGGTTGTTTTTTTTGTGTTTGTTTGTTTGTTTGTTTTTAGATTTTATTTATTCATGAGAGAGAGGCAGAGACATAGAGGGGGAAGCAGGCTCCTTGCAGGAATCCCGATATGGGACTCGATCCCCGGACCCCGGGATCACGCCCTAAGCTAAAGGCAGACACTCAACCGCTGAGCCACCCAGGTGTCCCAACATGAGGTTTTTTTTAAGGCTGGACTCTAGGATATTTCAAACTCAGCAACTAGATCTCTGCTTTAGCCCATAACTGAAACTAGACGTAAATGGTTCTGCTTCTGGTATTCAGAAGAATTATGGATGTCAGTTGATGTCCTTCTTGGCAATGTAACATCTCCCAAACCCAAACATGCCTTATTCTTCACTGGTCCATCTTTAGTGCTTCCTCTTGACTGGAACCTGCAGTACCAATCATATATTTGTCATTTGTTCAATGAGGTGTGTTATGGCTTCTGAGACTCACAGAGTCCCTGTGTGTGATGTGTTTTTTCTCCCAGCATTTCACTGATAGCCACAAGAGGAGATTTCTAAATAAGTGTGTGTTTGAAAATTAAAACTACTAACTACTTTTTGAGAACATTTTATATTTAATGGTTTGGTTTGGCTGCTGCTAAAATTATAAGATGATAAACATTAAAAAGTATCTACCCTAAAAACAGCCAAAGTAATTTGGCTAGCCATCATTCTCTAGTTATGGTAAAAAAAAAAAAAAAATTCTCCCCTCTTCCCCCCCAAAGGATGTTCTCCCAAATTATCTGTCACTCTAGCGGGTTTTTTTTTTTTTTTAAAGTATCTCTCCTACCCCACCCCCACTAATGTTTTGTTCTGGCCAAATAAGGTCGAGTTCATTTTTAGATCTACCGCCTCCTCCTCCATCTCCCAGAGAGAACCTGTAGCAAGTGTCTATGACAAATTCTATTTGGAACAGGTCCCTTTGAGATCTTAATTTTACTCTGTGCCCCCACAGGTTTCTAACAGAGTCAGCTAAGAAGGATGGAGAAAGCTCCTTCAGAAGCTATTGATTTTATTGAAATGTTTATTTTCTCAGGTTCCAAGCCAATCAAAAGCTAGGCCAGAAAAGTAACAAATTACTACTCTCATATTAAGAGGCTAACCCAGAGAGTTATGGATTTGCCATAGCATCTCTTGTTCATTTTTGTTTTGCACCATTCATATTTGTAACTCTCCCAAATGTGTTAAATTGTTCTTGGACCAAACAGATTTAATTTCCAATTAGGAGCTGGGTCGTGGAGCTTTACATGCCTTGTGGGTCTCAGTTGTTCAGCTTACACTGAGTCTTTTACCAAGCTTGTTCACGCTTTTTTAAAGCTAATAAACATGCTTTTCTTGCTTTCAGCTAGAATAAAAGTGCACACTGTTGTTTCCCCATGGTAAAGCCCATATTCATGGGCTATACTCACAATTCACCCCAACAAGCAAGAGGTACTTTTATGTGGAAGCTACAGGATTGCCCTTTTTGGGTTAGTTTTTTCTTTGATCTCAAAGCAAATATACATGGTTTAGTCTTGTAAAAATAAAAAGAATGGACTAATAAATGAATTTTCTGAATGAATATTTCCAGAATCAAAATTATGTCATGTGTCTCACTAATACTTTTTCCTATGCCATTTCCCTTTGACATTGATATTGAAAAAAAAAATTTATTTACTTGAAGCATACTTTGCTCCAGAAAAATTTTTCAAATAAATTTTTATTTAAATGAGTTCCAGGTTTTTTTCCCCAGAATGTGGTGGTTTCCCACAGAGAAAGAAAAGAAAAGAAAGACTAATCCCAAAATTTACACAGCATATTAAAAGATATGTTTAATATTGTGCTTTTCTTGGATACAGAGCTGCCATGATATATAATAAACACAGAATTTTTAGCAGTCATCAAGTGACAGGCTCCCACATATTTTGATTTCAAGCACAGATATTCTGAGCTTTTTTGGAGAAGTATGTTGGACAAAGAACATTTCAGTTTTTGTCTTTAAATTGTATTTCCTATTTATTTCTGGCCAGATCTACCTTTTGAAAGTTTTATATGTCTACTGTTATATAAACCTGAATATTATTTCTAGCTTTATTAACCTTAGTTTTGATCCTTTCTCCCTGGAATATCCCATTTAAGAACTTGAACCTAGTTGTCCAGTATCCAAATCCGCTGGAACCGTTGAAATTTTAAATTGTCCAAGAGATATATAAAGTATTTGATGAATTCTTGTTAATCGCTTCCAATCCATTGAAAGTTACTGGAAGAAGATCCCTATTTTGAATTATACTAAGGGATGAAGTAAAGCTGTCAGAAGCTGTTGGAAGGCATAAGGCTTTTATTTGTTTTTAAAGATTTTATTTATTTACTTGAAAGAGATTGAGCATAGAGGGAGAGGGAGAGGGAGAGGCAGACCCCCACTGAGCGGGGAGCCTAATGCAGGGCTCAATGCTAGCTGGATCTAGGACCCTGGGATCTCGTGACCTGAGCCCAAGGCAGACACTTAACCACCTGAGAGCTACCTAGAAGTCCCAGAAGGCATAAGGCTTTTAGTTTGCATTAGTAGTATTGGTAAAGGAAAAAAAACATTATATTGCATATCTGAGTCATTTTTCATAGGTAGTAACAATTTGCTCTCAAGGCTTGAGCCAGGAATTCTAGTAATAAATTCTTACAACAAGAAAGGGCTATTCCTGTTTATCAAAACCAGTAATAGCCACCTAATAATAGGGAAGCAAAACTATCTCCAAGTAGAAATAGAGAGATGCTGTATGATTGCAACTCACCAAAGCAAAGCAGCCAGTGGTGGCAGTTGCATCTTTTATCACGTCCTTTGTTGAACAGTTGCTCCTTATCTATTGCTGTCTCCATCCTGCCTGAGCTGAGCCTCAATCAGTTCATATTAAGCTGAGACTAATTGAGCTGTGAGATTACCCTCTTGGGATGAGGAGTTTGAGATCTAGCACTGTCATAATGAGAAGAAAAGTTGGAAAATTAGGGAGTGAGGTTGATGGGTTACGTAACCACTAAGGGCTGTGGGGTTAGATGCCTCACTGCTTCCAAGAAAAGCACTTCATTAAAAAAGAAAAGAAAAGAAAAGAAAAGAGAAAAGAACAAGCAAATATGCCATGTCATATATTTAAAATTTGAATGCAATTTATGGATTAGTAACATCTGCCCTGGATGTGGTGTGTTTTCTACCAGTGCCCATAGTCTTGATGTGTTTTTTCTCTGAGTATTTATTATTCTGCATTTTTGTCCTTTCAACTATAGGATTTAGACAAAAGTCAAGAAGAGATAAAAAAGCATCATGCCAGCATCAGTGAGCTGAAAAAGAACTTCATGGAATCTGTACCAGAACCACGGCCTAGTGAGTGGGATAAACGCTTATCCACTCACTCCCCATTCCGAACACTTAACATCAATGGGCAGCTTCCCACAGGAGAAGGAGTGAGTACTTTGTCCATGTGACCACTTGTGAGAATGAATGAAAGAGGTGTTACTGTATATTAATGTTCTGTATATAAGTAAAATAAGGAAGTTTAGAGCTGAAATTTAGCTTTGGTTCCTCACCAGTTCATTGCAACTTTAAGGCATTCATAATCAAACATTTGTTTTTTTAAGTCATGTGGGCTACCCAGTCAAATTAGAGGAGCCATTTAGAGCTACCATTAGATGACTGAGCTCTTGAGAACTGCCTCCTTCTGGCTAGTGTGTGTTTACAAATTGACCATAAGCCAGCAGAACTTTATGTTCAAACTGTGCCTCCAAGGACCAGAGAGTTTACTAAATTTAGTAAGGTCAAAACAGGAACAGGATAAACATTTTTTTTAACTTTATTTGAACATTTGCACAACTTAGAAATGTCTGGAATGGTTGACCATAATTATATAATAAACTAAGAAGGCCTCTAAGTCAGAGAGTGCAAACCATCACATATTAATGATTTCATTTCAATTTTAGAAAAATTGTTGACGATTCGTCTTTATGAGTAGCATCAAACTTTTAACATGTTGTCTTGTAAGGTAGTCACAATTAGAAGAACTCGGAGATACCTTTCAGAGGCTGCTCTTTCTGTATTGTTGTCATTACCTATTGTAGAAATCCTACCTTTGACTAAATGAATCTGTGTGATGGAATATTTTTAAAGTTACCTTAAGCATATATCTAAAAATTCTTTACTTAATCTTTAGCTTATACAGTTTAATATTTATATGAGTAGTCATAATGATTTAATGAGTGATTATAATATTTTTAAAAATTATATGCCTGGTTTTTACCAATAGCAATTGCAATTCTAATTAAGAAAGGTAGTATTGTCTTAATAACTTAAACTTGTTTTTATATTCAGAATTCATGGTATATTATCCAACTTTGTTTAGTTTCTGGAACTGGAGATGATAAAAGTTGTCTCACAAAGGGTACTTTTTCTATTTTTCAAAATGCAGTTGAAATTGGCTAAGAATTCTCCCAGTACAATCGAACCAGTTTCACCAAGTAAGACTGGAGAATTCCTGAATGCTGGGTAGCTAGTTACCACAGGTGATAGGATGTAATTGTTCTTATTCACTGTCCTGTCAGCCTCCATTCCCTGATGTAAATGGACATCACTTTTGTATTCTAAATATAGATAATATACCCTAAACTGAGACAGTGACTTTGCTTTCTGTAAATTTAAACTCCAGGAGAAATGCCTTATTGCTATCTTGCCTGGTTAACCCTCTCTGTAAACCGTAACTGCATATTTTCTAGAAGTTTTCTTTTTGACTCTGTGGAAGTAATAAAAGGTGCTCTATTACTTTGAAAAAGTAACTTAATACTCTCTTGGATGAAGTTTGGTAAATTTGAGTCAGTCTCCATTTCCAGAAAAATATCTTATATCTTAATATAAACCTTCCAAAAATCATCTCAAGGCTGGTTGGAAATGGGTATGTCATCCTGTAGACTTTGAAGAAAGGACTTTTTTATAAATTAGATTAGTGGGGAATATTTGAGCTACTTTAGCTCTATGCTTATGTATATTACTCCTCTAAGTGAATAACAAAATGAATAAGAGCTGTACTCTGATAACCATTTATATAGGATAACTCCACTTTCTGGCATATCTTACTTTTTCTTTAATAATTAGGGCAATATTTCTGTTCCCTGGGGATACCTCTTCCGTCTTTGGCAGCATTGTTGTATTGCAAGGCTACTGAATTTTATATAATTTGTGTATGACCAGGTGAAGAAAACCTCTGTCCTTCCCTCGGAAAGAAAGGTTGGTGGGCCAGAGGTAAAGCTGCCATTATGACTTGTGCTTCTCAATCTAAATTTGCTCCTGTCATGGCACTAAGCAGATAATCCCCCAGAACTGAACAGCAGCTGCTGAGTAATTTTTTTTTCTTTTGGCTCTACTAGTAAATTCACACCCCACTGCCTTTTGACCTAACACATAACATTTCCACTGCTGCAGCTTTTGCAGCTTTCAATTTGCTTATTTCGGCGCATGGCTGGTTGAAAAGCTGCATGAAGATGTAAATATGTATTCAGAGAGAAAATGAATTTAATTGTACCCTATTCTTTTTATGTTGTCTTTCTTCTCCCTCTTTATATTCTTTTAAAAATCATTATAATTTTGCATCCTTTCTTTTCCTTTTCTTTTTTGCTGACCAGTCCCCCAGCTACTTTCTCCCTGATACATATCACTTAGGGGTGTGCAAAGAACCTGTATTGAAATACCAAACTGACCAGAGAAGGCTGGCCCAACTGAGAGAACTTAGAGCCAAGTTTTTCCTTTCATAGATAACATCTGTCCCGACTAAATGGCAGAGCATGGAAATTGGGGGAGGGGGAACACTTAAAAGTGTTAAAAGTACTTGCTTTAATGTGATATATAAGCCTTCATGATGGTTGTTAACTGCTATTATTTTTAATCATGATTCTGCAAGAGGGAGGGAGTTTACAGTTGTTGAGATGGCGGTGGGCTTTGTTTTTGATAGACCTTGGAGGCACATATAAACTTTTATACTCTTGTTTTTCTTTTGCAAACTTTAAAATGTATGGGATTAAGATTTTTATTCCCTTGAGCAAAAGCTAATTGCCGTACTGAATGAACTGTTGCAGTTTTTTAAGTCTATGTGAAAGGATATGAGGATAATGTTTTATATTCTGCCTTCTATTTGTAATAAAATAACTTTTCTGATGGTGAGAAGAATGCTTCATTATTGGTTTTGCCCAAGTGATCTAAGAAAAATTGGCAGCACTAAAACAATGAAAAATGACCTAAAATTCATCTGTGAGTCTCCTTGAAGGAAGAACAAATACTATAACTAAGGAAGTCAAGTAATTTCTTGAACTTTCAGAACTTCTAATGTTCATTCACTCAAAAAATTATCTATTGCGTACCCTACTGTGTTATAGAAACTTCGCTGGGATAAATTGCCAAAGTAAAGTAAGATAAAGAGTGTCCAAAAAAAAAAAAAGTGTCCAAAAAGATCTTCCCAAATCCTTTGCACATCCCCAAGTATCATTTTTGAGCATTTTTCCATCTGTCATTTTGTTCATCTTTCTCTGTCTTTCTTGATCTTCTACCGTGAAAGCAGACACAGGAACGTGCTCTGTTAGTGCAGGATGAAGAGAAAATTAAAAGGAAAGAGAGATCTGCTGAGAGAGCCTTGCCCCAGCAAGACAATGAAGAAATTCCTCCCAAGGTTTCTATTCCAATCCCCGAGGATCACAAGTCTCTCAAAAAGTGCCACCTCTACTCTAGTACTTTTCCATCTCCTCGTATTCCTTTTATGATGTCTTTTCTCGTGATTCTTGTGTTGGCTGTTTGGTGGTTGGTCTTTCTGTGATCGGAAAACAGGGTGCTCATCTGAAATGTCAAGATTAAAACCATTGAACTTTTGTCATTTACTTCTGCTGTGTTATCTCCTGTATGATACCCTCTGATCTTGATAGTTCACTGTCCTAGGGGAGCTCTTTGCATTCATTTTTCTGTCAATAAAATGTTACTCTTTGTAGAATATGTATTGTGGGGTACAAAGGAGTAGGGATGGATTGCCCAAGCCAGCTTTCCTCACTGACATTTAGCAAGTTGAGGCAAATCAGATTTAAGTGTACGACAGTACTTTCCCCAAAAGCTTTAACTCTTTTTATCCTGCATGTTCTTATTGTATACTCTTGTTGTGTCCTTCTCTCCAGTGTTAACATGCAAAGCAGGATACTCTGTAGAGAACATTTGATGGAATATTTCATAATCTATAGTCATTTGTGTGGCATAGGCTCTGTAGTTTAAGAAAAAAATTCAACTTGCTAATTTTTCAAAAGCCTTAAAATGATACATTTTAATCTATGAGTCCATAAACACTCCTTTTCTTGAGATATCAAATTAGTATATATACAAAGGCCTTTTTTGGAAAAGGGCTTTTGACTTCTGTGGCCTTCTTATGTGTATTTCTGAGACGTATATGGAAAAACACCTTTATCCTGCCTGGTGTATAGAAGGGGACCTGCAAAGGTTAAACTCCAACTTTTCATAAGTAGAATGTTGTTGGTTTAAGGAAAATGGTGCTGGTGCCCCCTTAGTCTCTAGCCAGGGCTGAATTCCCAGACCACCGTACCCATCTTTAAAAGTCCTGAAATACAAATTAATTCAAGATCTGTACATAAATATACCCTTCTCTGAAGTAATACTGTGTTACTTCTTTATGACTTAAGTAATTATATTGCTAGAAGCAATATTTAGCCATTATCATAAGCTTAAAATATATATTGATATATTGTTTTCCTGATTGACTTCAGACCTGTTTATTCTTACATTTGTGTTGAAATCAATTGTTTTTCATTGATAGCCTTGTTGACCTAAAGTTCTGTTGTGACAAGTATGTGTCCCTGTGTTTGCATGTTGATTTTTAAGGCTTCCCTGAAGTACATATGAGTGTGTTCTGTCTTCACAACACAACTCAGATGCCTAACCTGTTATTTTTTACCTCGGTATTAATCACACCTTGCATGTAGCTTACTTTCTATGGCACTTGAATGTACCAATATGGATGATTTAGTTAATGTTGTCTCAAATATTTGTTTTGAAATCTGAGTCCATGAGGTTATCAAACAGATTTTTGCACTCTGTTTTACTTCTCAACACTTTTTAGTTGATGAAACTTTAAGACTTTGTGTTTTTAAGATGATGGCTTCTTACAGCAAAAAAAAAAAAAAAAAAGAGAGAGAGAGAGAGAGAGAGAACACTAATGGCAAGAATCTTTTGTCCTTCAACGCCCACCACTATTCTATTTTTCTCTGGAGACATGTAGAAATAATTATCTGGTATTTCCTGAAAACTGCTATTCTGTCATTATAGGCTTTCCCCAAAAATGGGAAAAGAAGTAAGGGGTGGGTTAAATTTTAAAATCTGTTATGGGTGTGTATCTTTCATGTCACAGGCTATGTCTGTTTATAACAAATAT